GATGTGAACTCTGTTAGGCCACCGGCGAACTTTCGGCAACCGAGACCCGGACTTCCACCGTCACACACCGTGACCCTGGCCGCGCCTCCTCCCGCCCCGTCCCCGACAGGGCGCCTTTGAGCTCGACGCGGACGGCGATGACCTTGCGCTCGTTACCAATCTAATACCCTTGTTGTTGGGTGGATGAATCGTGTGCTGCCGATCCTACTTAGAGGAGAAAACTACAGAGGCAGAGCCATAAATTTGAACCAAGCACTGCGCCTCGACAGTATCTGCGTCGAGCTCAATGTTGTGCAGGACAGCACGCACGGCATCGGAGCGTCATGGAGATTGTGTCGGATGACATCGAAGATCCGGAAGATCTATGGGCGTTACCCGGGCGTTACGCCCGCATATGGTAGGCTGTCCCACGAAAATGCCTAACGAACTTCCCATCCTAACGTGCTGCCTAACGCAGGTGCCTAACGCGAGGTCGAACAGGGCCTTGGTGGTGGTGGGCTAAGGCAAAACTCCGGCTCGCGTCGGTGCGTCGGCGCAGGTCGGCGCCGCCGCGGGTCCGACGCGTGACGTCACGCGTAGCATGAGCACTTCTGCCGCTCTGATGGGCCAGACAGGAAAGAAGTGTTCTCAGTGGCGTCCAATACGGCGCAAGTCTATCCGCAGCTCATCATAGAGCTCTACGTGATGCGATGTGTCCTCACTATGGCGTTCTCATGGATACTCTCGCGATACGTCAACAACGACAACAAGGCAATCAGGTTCGCGTTTCTTGTGGTGCTACACAATCTCCGGCTTCTCATGCTGTATCCTTTCTTCGCTTCCGTAGACGTTGTGTCGCGGCGCAAAAGCGGAAATCATCCGCGCCTCAACAGTATTGCTGCCCGACAACGATCAATACAAAGGGCCATTGAAGATGAGCGAGACAGAACACATACTCTGAGGCAGCGCTGCCTGTAGCTCGGGGCGACTCCTTGCTCAGTATTGACTCTGAGTTGCTTAACGGTACACCCGCCAACACATGTTTTTCACCGTCATAGAGATCACCATGTGAGCGGGAGTCCACCAAGCCTTCGATACGCGATCTGTTCAAGTACCGTCAGCCTCGGTTGAGCGTTACATAGATAGGAGGAAGGTGGTCATACTCGGTATATGGGTCAGACTCGGTACCTCCTTGCATTCGCAAGCCGAACTCAATGTCCCCCAAAGACGTCGTCTTCTTCGCGCCGCGGGAGCCCGGTTTCCATCCAATACGCCCAATAACGAAGTGGATAATCCTCAGATACGATACGCGTGCTTCCGTGGTAAGCCCAAACAAAGCGAAGATCGCGAGTGCCAGAACAGGTGACGTCCAGTGAGTGAAGTAGAACTGTGCGAGACCAGCAGTTCCGCTAGCCTTGATCCGTGAGTAGGAGAAGCTCACGGGCGACCAGTTAGTGTGCAAAACGGTCCAACCAGGGTAGACCGGCAAGCCAGAGTTCTTCAAGGCAGGTACAACCTTGAGAACAATGTTCGTGATTCCGATGGGTAGCGTGAGCAACACGTCGATGCTGGCGAGGATGAGGATGCGGAGGTAATTCGTGCGGGAGATGGTGTTGTCGCTGCAAACAAAGCTTCTATTGTTGCGGCCCTGTCGATAGAACATGCGTATGACTCTCGCTGAGATGCACCTCTAGTAAGCACAGAGTACCTAGAGACGACAACTGGCAACATACGATAGTAGTGTATGACAGATATGAGAGGTGGGACGACCGTCCATATGTCAATCGTCAGGATCTCGACTACAGACGGGTTGGCGTTGTCTGAGCACCCGAAGCCTTCTTGGACCTGAAAACGAACGCCTTGGTTCGCATAATCTAAACAAGCATCAGAGAGTATTCCCATCATAGACTAAGGAATCTTACAGATGGGACCGGCCACAAGGAGTGGGATAACCAAACCTAGGGTCCACTCGACGAAGCAATTCCAGCGTTTCTGTCAAGCCATCATTCGTCATACACGCGTAGCTGGGCTGGTAGGCATGCGCGAACCGCTGTCTTATCGGGTAGGTAGAGGCTTTGGAGACTGGCGATCAGGTAGAGCCGACGTGTGATGATAAGAGTCGCCATAGGTTTGACGACAAAGGTGATCTCTTGGAGATGTGTTACTGTCGGTAAGACTATTAGTCCTGTTCACAGCGCGGAAGATAGAGAGCATACCAATGTCACAGTAGACATAGTGCTTGATGTCAGCGTTATTGGACCATAGGATGCAGCCGACCCCGTCCGCAACGGATTCAACGAAGAGCCAAAAGCACAGAAAGGTGACCCCAAGATTCCAGTTATGACGCGTAAAGCTCGACAAGAGCACAAGCAGTAGCATAGCAGCGGACAGAAACTTTGCTACAGGGAGTAGCGGATAAGTGGGGTCAACGGCGCCGCTCATGATGCATGGCAGGCCTGTATCGCGCTCCGAAGGCTCTTATCGTACCAAGGTACTCGAAAGAGTCATTGCGAACTCGCCGGTCCGGCGGCAGATCTTGGATTTATTGTTCCGCTCATGAGACGCCGCTGGACGTATGCGAATGATGGTATAGATGCATCACTCGTTGTGTATGCAGAAGAGACCATGCACCCGCACCCGCGAGAGCCAGCGACCCTTTTGCAAGCGCGGGGAGTCCCATGACGATCTGCAAAACAGGCACTTGAGATTCCTCTCAATGACACTGGGAGCGAGAGATACGGACATCTGTGATGGGTTGTCACGGACTTGTTTATCCTGGGAGGCGCGATCGTGCAGAGTGTGCCACAAGTATGGAGCTGGCAGTTGACAGCGCCCAGCGTTGTTGGCACCTGTGCGCTCGCTGGATACACAGAAGCGGCGAAGTTGCAGGGCACCCTGCCACTGATGTGCCAGGGACGGCTACATACTTGATGCACGACGTTTATGTAAACCACCGCCGTTGCGGTGATGGGCGCCGTGGGCGCTGACGAATATCCTCCGGGTTCAACGTTCAACTTTCATGCCGACGGCGAGATACCCATTCAAGTTGACAATGTGCGATAGGTCCGACGTACATCTGCACCTGGATGGAGTGATCATGGGAGAGAGCACGTAGATATTTCGGCTGCGCCTGGCTGTCTACCGCCTGCGAGTTAGACCGATTGATCCGCAACGCGCGTCTCCTGCTTCGTACCATGACCACGCCCGACCAGGCCCTTTCGTCCTTCTTCGCGCCGATGCAAATGCGCGATCTGGTCTCTCTTGACGCAAGTCAGCAACACTCTTCCAAAATAAGCGGGACCAAAAACGAATAGGACGCCCATCCAGTTGACTTCTAGTGGAGCAAGGCGAGGGTATTGGAAGACCTTTGGCGTCGACAAGCCCCCCATTCGCAGCGTTGTCGTCTGAAGGCTCCGATGACTACACTGCTTAGTCGCAGGACGAGATGAAGCTTCTCTGGACATGTATCGTCTGCGCGAATCCGCTGCTGGATGGGGGCAGATGTAGCGTACACGGGACCCGGGCTTAGTTGCATATGCGTGAGTCGTCCACTACTCTGAGCATGCCATGTCATTCGACTAATCTATTGGCGACCAGGATGGGGTTTATGACCGACAGTATGCTAGTTGCTTCATCGTCCATACGTACACTCTGGGCCAGACCTCATTGTGTACTATACGTTACTTGAAAGAACAATACCATGACAACACCGTTGTTCACCAACGATCCCTCCAGGCATTTATATCTTGCGGAGCATACACCGGAGCGGGGCGGATATATTACAGCGCCGATAAGTAGAACGCGAGGCTCGTCGCCAGCACTGTGCCGGACCGAGGCAGTACCCAATACGCCTGTCGAGCGGATTTGAATGTGAATATCCACCTACCCTATCGCAAAGCGAACAGGTGCTTACCTGACATCGCTTGCCCGCTGGTGTGCTTCCTACAGTGGCTCTAGCAACTAGTTCAATAGAACTTCACCGCGCTGCTTTGCAAAAGGTACATCGATGCTACTCGAACTTGACCCAAGCGACCTGAGCCCGATCATTTTAGACTCATACGAGCGATGTGTGACTAGAACCGCACCGGCTTATCGTCTCGATCTCGCTGGACGAGGACCGGGATCCAAACTCGATATCCCCCAACGGGCTGCCCTCATCTCGCTTGAACCGCCATCCCATCCGCGCACCTACTGCACGGAGTAGGCGGCAGTGCGATTCACGAGCATCTCGTGTCAGACCGAAGAGGCCGAAGATCACAAATGCCAGCACTGGGGAGGTCCAGTAGGAGAAATAGAAATATACCAAGGTTGCAGTACCATAGCTCTCTATCTCTGCTTTGGTATAGCTGACTGCTTCCCAGTGACTGTGCAACAAGCGCCACCCCCAGTAAAAAGGGAGAGGGAAATTCGATGTCCACCCGCGTATCTCCAGTACTGAGCCTACGACGCCGGTGGGGAACGTGAGGATACAGTCGATACTAGCGATGATGAGGATACGAAGGTAGTTTGTCGACGATATCGCCGTGCCGTTGCTATTCAAAAAGTCATTCGTTTCTCGTCTGTGCTGATAAAATGTCTGCCACACTCTCGCTGAATGAAGTTCAACACTAGGTATGCCCATATGCACCGGCCGATGGGAGGCAACTCACGGTAGTAAAAGACGATGGATACGAGGGGAGGGACAAGTGACCATACGTCGATCGTCAAGATCTCCAGGACGGATAGCTGTGACGCTTCCGTGCATCCGAAACCCTCATAGACCTCGAAACGATAGCCCTGATGAACATAGTCTCCAGACGAAGTGAGCATGGATATGTATTGTGAGAGGATTGAAGTGACTTACAGACTGGGCCAGCGACCAAGAGAGGGATGAGAACCCCTAAGACCCATTCAATCACGATATTCCACCGCCTCTGTATCGGTTTCACGGTCAGCTGCACAATCGCATCAAAGACGCACACGGCTACCTTTGCTTCGTCTGGAATATTGACAGACTGAAGTGTCGCAATCAGATAGAGTCGACGCGTAATGACAAGAGTTGCCATAGGCTTGACAACATATATGAACACTTTTACATGGGACACTTGCACAGGAGCATTAGCCGTGGCTACGGTCCCTAGCAGAGAATTGGAGTAACTACCGATGTCACAATAGGTATACAGCTTGATATCGGCATTGTCAGACCACAAAATGCCGTTCACCGCCTCGGTGATGTTGTCAACGAAGAGCCAGAAGCACAGGAACACCACGCCTAGATTCCAACTTTGCCGAATGAAGCTGGTCGTTAATACCAAGAGTAACAAGGTTGCGGCAAGGATGGATGCAACGGGACGCAAGGGATAGGTGGGATCGAAGGCAGTCATGTCTGGATGGAAGGAACCTGGTTCTCTTCGCAGGACTACGCTGTTCAGCTGAATCCTTAAGACACGGGAAGACAGGTCATCGCCCTCGGGTTAATGCTCTGTATTGAAACTAGCGCGGACGATCCTCGCATATGTGGCAGTCACTTATACAAAGAGAGGAATTCAATCTCAACGCGCTCCCGAATAGGCATTGGAGCATGCCTGTAGTAACAGGAGTCGACGCCACTGTTCCTATATCCGCAGACCGTGTCGAGCGGTGCTACGCGGGAGAAGTACACGTCGGTGAAACAATTCGGAGAGGAGTGTCAGGGCCGGGCTGAGGCGGGAGTACTATCCATACGCAGGACCGACATTTACCACATGGGAATTGCCACGACGTTCACGGTGAGGATTTGGCGCTCGGGCAAACGAGTGAGATTAAGAGTTCATCGTATCCGTGTTTGAATACAGGGTGCGCATAGCAGTCCCACAGTCGAGTGTCAGCCGCAACGATCTCATGCAAGCCCATGTACATAGTCGAAATGGCGACCCTGCGCTCGGGTCGGACAAGCGTCGCTGACGCAGAACATGGCGGAGTGAACCGGGCCGGCGATAGCCGGTAACACTTTGAGAAGTGGGATACAGCCTTCCGTCCCTTTCCCGGACGCTACCAGCCTGCACCACATCCCATGTGTACCCAGAATTTCATTCGCGTTTAAAGCGTGCTCGTCGGATGCGCACTCTTCCGCGACTCCAAGAAGAACTTTGTTCGTGTACAGCTACCTTTCGATTGCACAGATAGCGTCGATATTGGGCCACATGCCAACAAATTCTCTACAAAAGGTCTATAAAGCATCATCTCCCAAGATTTCAAGAAATCTATACTGAAACGGCGAGATTCACCACCTCCATGTCGTCCGGAATGCGACGCTCGTGTCTGCCGGATGTTTGATGCATATCCATTGTATCCTGAGGTTGTCGACGCTTGTCCTCCAGCGACTCGGACGTTGATGTCTTGCCCGAGTCAGATGCGACGCTGTGCTTCGCAGCGAGTAGATCGCAAATAACCAAGCTCGATGAGTAAGACCTATGTCAAGATGTCAGGCGAAGCCAGTCAAGCTCAGAGAGCGACCAATATACGCACTCATTCTGCCTCTCGCCATCCGTGTCCGAACTGTCTTCCGGGCGGGGCCCGAGTTCGATATCGTCAAGCATTTCTGTTGAATTATGTGCGGTGCGCGCTGGTGGGGTTCGGCTGAACCAGGCGCTCACGATGTAGAAAGGGCGCCAGTACAATGCGCGAGCCTCCGATGTTAATCCGAAGAGGCCAAAGATGGTGAACGCAAGTACAGGAGACGTCCAGCTGTCGAAGTAGATGTACGCGAGGGTGATCTTGACGTATCCCTCTAGCTCTGTATACGAGAAGCTCACTGCGTCCCGATCGGCGTGTAGGGTGGACCATCCCCAGTAGAAAGGCAGCGAAAAGTTGGTGGCCCAGGACTTCGTTGCCAGAACATTTCCCACGATGGCAAGGGGCAATGTGAGCAGGAGATCGATGCTGACGAGGATTAGGATGCGCCCGTAGTTCGTCGATGTCATTGAATCGTTGCTATTCAGGAAGCTGTTGGCGGCTTGTCTTTGCAGGTAGAACGTTCGGAACGCTCTGGCTGAAGCAAGAACGTCTGTCAGATACTCAAGAGTCCATGTTTTGGCAAATGAGCACTCACGATAGTAGAACACGATTGACACGAAAGGGGGAAGGAATGACCACACACCGATGGTCAGGATCTCCAGGATGGATATTTGTGTGCCATCCGTGCAGCCAAAGCCTTCGTATACCCCAAATCGGAAGCCTTGATGTACATAGTCTGGTGAGAGTGTTATGGCGTCGGAACTTGCGCGAGGATGGCTGACTTACAGATCGGTCCCGCAACCAATAGAGGGACGAGAAGTCCAAAGGTCCACTCAACAGCCACATTACATCTCCTCTGGTCATCTAGGTCATTACATGTTGTGAGAGTGAGCATGGACTACACACCTTAGCTTTACTGGGAAGATATACCGACTGCAGACTTGTGATCAAGTAAAGTCGGCGCGCGATGATGAGAGTCGACATCGGTTTGATGACATATGCGACCAGGCTTAGGCGCGAGACTAGCACGGGCTCTTTATCAGTGGAATAGCAAAAGAAAGACACAGGTTGACGCTCACCGATGTCGCATAACACATAAAACTTTATATCGGCGTTGTTGGACCACAGTATAGCGTCCACGCCGTTGGCAAGGTTGTCAAGGCAGAGCCAGAAACACAGGAATGTGACACCCAGGTTCCAGTTGCGGCGAATGAAGCTGGTCGTCAGTACCAGCAGTAACATCACTGCTGCCAGGATGCACGCCACAGGTCGCAGGGGATATGTAGGGTCGACAGCAGCCATATCAGGTCAGATAGGCAGATCCATCCTTCCGAATGGCTGCAGGTTGTTATACCACGAGCGCTGTCGTGGTAGGCACCACCTCTGACGTTCTGTGTCAAAGGCAGCACCAGGGCTCTTCGCAAAGAGAAATACTCGAGACATAATGGGAATGCGCAGGCCGCCGTTCCATGCGCGCGCAGAGGATCATGGTGAGGATTGATGCATCTGTGATGCCTATGGAGCGTCTCATAGTTGTAGTAGGAGGTGCATTGGAGGTATCTTGCGCCGGTGATTGTGCGCCAGCGGAGGCGGCACAACATGAACAGTAGAACGGTCTTCGTCTTCGCTTGAGGTGAGAATCCGGGACGCGGATGTCGGGCCGGTAAGCGAAGGCGACTAATTCCCAACTGGTGATGCTTGATTCCGTACGTTGAACAGCAGGGATGTAGAGGGATGCAGATGGTTGAACATTTGTATGTATGCCCGAGCGAGCCGAACCTCGAGACCATCATCATGGGAGGAAGTAACAAGCGACTCTCGGGCCGGGAAAGCCTCGACGGAGCGCGGGGAAATCCAAGGGCACGCGGCTCGCTGGCCCCACCAGTGTACCCTTGTGATGCTTGGATCAAACGAGGAAAAAGGAGGGCCGGACAAGGCGCAGGCGCACAGTGGGAAATCACGTTGTGTGCGCAGGAGGAACGGGTGAGAGGAGGCGGCCCAGGCGGAGAGCTGTGTTCTGCCTTACCCACCACGTAGGTCTGCCTTGGCTTGTCTCGGATATACTGGGCCCGTACGCCGCCAGAAGTGAGACTCTGCTACGACTAGTACAAGGGACACGGACAGGGCCTGGGCCAATTGGGCAAGAACAAGGACTACTCGGATTAGACTTGGACAAAGAGCCAGTCCACGCCTTCGATTCGGGAAAGAAGGCCAGCCTCGCCTGAGGTGCGTGTTTTGTGGACGCGGAGCCGGTGCGGAATAATGATTTGGATATTGGTAGATGAGCGTGGCTGAGGCTGAAGCGGGAGCAATCCCCGTTCGACCTGTACGCTCACCGCTCCGTTCCCAGTCTCGGCCGCGGCCGCCACAAGGCTTGACCATGCTCGCCCTCGACTCGGCTACTACCGACGACATGCTCGCAATATTGCCGACGAGCGCAACCACGATCGACTTTGGGAAGCCGTCGGCATCGACGCTCACTGTGCTGCCCACCCGCGCCTCGTTGCCCAACATGGCTTCCACTTCCACCGCATCCTCCTCAGAGCCCACCCCAGTACCGGCTACAAAGGGCAAACGAGTGCATGCTTTATTGGAATTACTTTCGTCAGAACGGGCTTATGCATCCGACCTGTCCCTCGTCCGCGAGCTGCACATCCCCGCAGCCCGCGGCCACCTCCCGCACACCGGCCCGCCTCCCCCGACACCACCCGCCTCGTCCGGCTCCTCGGCGCGCACGGCCTCGATGGCATCCAACGACTCGAGCTATCTCGAGCACGGCCCGGCGATGACACCAGAAGATGTCCGACAAGTGTTCGGCAATATCGCCGAGGTTGCCCTGTTCGCGGATACGTTCGTGGATCGCATCGAGGATGCGCTCGGGAACGTGTTGGAAGGGGGCGTCGGCCTAGATAGAGTTGGAGCATTATTCTTGGATATAGTATGTCCTTTCCTTTCACATTCAGAAACTACTGTATTAACACAATCTAGATACCGCTTATGGAACCACCTTACGCCGTCTACATATCGCACCACACACGCGCCCTCTCCTACCTTGAAAACATGCCCCGTACGCCGGCGCTGGCAGCTTACCTAGCGCACACCCGCGCCTCGGCCGCTTCCTTCTCCCACGCTTGGGACCTCCCATCTCTCCTCATCAAGCCCGTCCAGCGCCTGCTCAAGTACCCGCTGCTTCTACACACAATAATCCAAGACACGCCGCAGACGCATCCGGACTACGAGTCTTTGGTCCAAGCAAAGGCGCGCATCGAGCGTGTGGCACATGCTGTCAACGAACAACAGCGCCGACGTCAGGTGGTCGCATCTATCCTCGCCGAACCGCCACAGGCGCTCCAGATCAGGAAACGCACCCTCCTCGCCCGGACACATAGCAGCAAGGGCCGGCCCGGGACTGCCGATGGGGACGACGGGCTGGATGGAGACGACAGCGAGAGCGCTGAGCGGCTGAAGGCGATGGAGGTTGAATTGCGCGCTGCGCTCGAGTTGTTCGATAAGCTCGCCGACGCGGCCGACGCCTGGGCCGCAAGTTGCACCGCCGCCACCAGAACCCTATCTGTCTGGGCTCATGCCTTTGGCGCCCTGTTGGGTCTGGACCCACCCCCTTTACCTGCAGACGAAGAGGACTCTATACGCTCGCACAACGGGCTCGACGAGGAGGAGCCAAACGACGCGTACGGCGCATTCCTCAATCTCGTTGATAAGCGCCTGGCGGCGCTCTCCCACGACGCTGCGTCGCTTGTTGCAGAGCAGCTGCGCCCCAACTTGACAAAGCTGAAGGCGGTCGCATCACAACCTCTGACGCTACTCAACGCACTACACGCCTTGCAACCTGCCCACGCAGCAGTACTGGCTCATCCCGCGAACAAGGGAAAGCCGGATAAACAGCTTCAGGAGCACGCCTCTCAGTACGCCGCCCTGCGGGCACAACTGCTGGACGAGCTTCCCGCAGCGCTCGCATTAGCCCGCGCAGGAGCATCAGCCTGTGCGGCGGCGGCGGTGCGATGGCACACCCTCTGGTTCGCAGGTGCACGGGCGGGGTGGGGAGCTCTATGGGAGAGCCTACGTTTACCCGAAGAAGCGACTGCGAGGGGAAGAGAAGAGACGGAGGCGGTATGGCGTGCACGGGCCGCCGATGCTCACGCGTCATTGGCTGTATTGAGATCATTGAGGCCGCCCGTACCGATCGCACCGTCTAGGAGGGATAGCGCGGGGAGCAGCAGGAGTGCGGATGCGGATAAGAGCGTGAGGGCGCTTGTGGCGGCTAGCATGTTCAACGCGCTTGAGCCTGCTGTGTCTGGGCGTTCGCCGAGTTTTGCGGATAGAGATCGGGAGAGGGAGAGGGATAGTGGACGGGATAGGCCGGAGAGGGGTTGGAGGAGAGTTGGGAGGAGAAGGAGCGATGACAGTTTGAAGAGCGCCGCTAGCAAGAGCTCGGGCGAGGATGGGCCACTGACGTTGGCAAGCTCGATCGGCTACGGATTTGGCAGCTCGTTCGCGTTTGCAAGTCCTTCGGCGTCGAGCTTTGCGACTCCACCTGGTCCATACAGGACACCGGACTCGAGAAGACAGTCCGTACCGCCGTCCCATGCAAGTATCCCGGAGATCGACGAAGGCACACTATCGCGACATGCGACGGACGGCCACCGATCGACACCAGGGGCTTCGACTTCCACTACGCGCCCGTCGAGTTCGCGAACACGAACCTACACGAACGAGGACCGCGGCCGGGACAGTAAAGACAAGGACCGGGACAGCAAAGACTCTAAACGCGGGCGCGCCGCAGCGTTCTTCGAGGCCGTCCGCCCTGCTGCCATGGTCCGCCGCTCGAGCAGCAAGCGACGCGATAGCAGTCCCGGAGCCTTCGTTGCAACAGAAGCACCTCTCGAGCCCTCCTCAGCCGCCCCTGATGGCGAATTTCCGCTCGACAATAGCTACAGCGCGCGCGAGGAGGGTTACTCGTACATCCGCCGCGAAGAAGTCCGTGGGAAGCTTGTGCCGAACCGGCCGGGGAGTGAGGGCGGTGTGATGCCTGCGCCGTTGAGGCCAAACAGGAGGAGAGATAGTAACGGGAGGGATAACCTGCCACAACGACCGTCTACGGCAGGCGCGGGGTCGCATCTGCAACATCAGCATCACGAGTACGAGCGGGATCGCGAGCGGGAACGGCATTCAGGGCACGAGTTTGCGTACCTGCATGGGGACCCGCACGCGTCTGCTTCCTTCACCCAGATTCCGCATAGCGCGAGCCAGCCTACGCTCCGACCCGCACCGCGCGAGTCGAGTTTAGCTGGGATGCCATCCAGCGCGAGCGCCAGTTCCGCAGCGCTCAACGGTCTATCGCCCCCGCCTATTCCTAGGCGCGCAGAGACGCGTGGTGATCCTTCCTCGACACACTATGGGTCTGGAGCCGGGAGTAGAGGAGGGAGCGCTAGCTCGCACAACGGCCCGCGTCCGCCTTCGCCGCGCGTCTCGTCAAAATGGCTCACTCAGCCCCCGCGCTACGTCGTCACGGCCGTGCACGCCTGCACGCCGCCCGCAGCCGCTTTGTATTGCGGTCTACCGTTCTTTGCGCTCAAGCGCGGCGATGCATTTGAGGTGTTGAGGGAAGCGGGGCATCCGAGGGCCCATAGAGAGAGGGGCATACCGCTTTGGGTCGAAGAGGGAGGCGACGATTGTTTGTTGCTTGTTAGGAAACCGGGGAGGGATGGGGCGAAGGGCGAGTTGGGGTGGGCATTGGCGAGTTTCATGTGGCCTATTGATTGAGGCTGCGTATGGTTCTTGGTCTTTTTGCATCGTGTACATTCCCCGTCCTCTCCCTGCTTTCATCGTATCGTTGTTGACTCGTATCATCCGGCGTGCTTCTACAAGCCGCCGCGCGCACTCTCCTTGCATATTTGCTGCTCCTGCTGCCGTTATCTGTACCTATATATCTGCCCGCTCGCTCGTTCATCTGGCTCTTGGATATCTTGCGCACCCATATATACACCCTCTTGCCCTACCTGCATATCTGCCTACACCTACACCTACTTGCGCCACGCACTACACCCCTCTCGTATCATTGCCCACCCTCAGATGTCCCTCGCCTTTTCCTGGACTCTTGTTGAGTGTCGATTTTGTTGTACAGTAGTTCTATTGCATGTCTTGCTTTGCTTGAAGGCTCTCGTATTCATGATCGGCAACGCGCTGTTCTATAGCTCAGGGGCTGTATGCGTTTCCAGCGATCATACGTGCATTGAAGCTATGTACCCAGAACATTCAGACTCTGGCTATCATGCATCATGTACCATAAACCAAGCGCATCACCTGCGGCGTCAGCGAGCCGCGTGTCCCTGGATGTCCCCGCGCTCGCCGGTCCGAGCAACGCTTACTTCCGCCCCCCATGATCTCGACGTTCAATTGAACTCAGTCCAGAGTAGAGAGTCTTCTTTGCACCTCATAGAGTACATCTTGCACGGATGTCAATGCGTCGAGCACGTGGTTCGAAAGCTTTCCATGTGTATACGTACTGCTCACCGGTTTTCCGTAGTCTCGTGCACCTCGCCTGGAAACGTATTGAATCCTCAATTCAACAGCGCTATCCGATGCATTGTCGCAGATCAAGATGCCGCTCATCATCGCGAAGGCTATTCGCTACTCTGCCAATCATATACCGGCGTCCCTTTTCGTGTCATGCTTCGTGGCAGTCCTAAGTACGTCGGTTTGCGTTGACACTGCGCCCGGCTTCATATATGAGGCGAGGGCGGCGTTGACATCTAGATCGCAGGCGTTGCGTTGCCGACGGCGACGCCATCGTATTAAATACCACCCCATAGGAGGCCTGGTCGCCAAAGACGGCCGTCATACCGCTTTGGCGCGCGAGGTCTTGAATACCGTGATACACTCTAGATCTGTCAATGGTCTTTTCCCGATCTTGGCAGCTACGTGCATGTAGTATCACCTCGGAGTGGTCATGCCGATCTTATTCTGATACAAGTGACATTTGCGCATCGCCTGGAGCTCCCGTTCCGCCATCCACTTTGAAAGTAAACTTACTCGCAAGGCTACCCCGATGCCTGCGGGCTGTTGACATCTCAATTCACTCCGCTTCTGCCAATCATGGCCGTATCAGGACAACCCACGCTCTTATACGTCGCTCTGTCGGGGAACTGTACAGCAAGGGCACAGAGTGGGAACTTTCTGGCCGTGTCGTGAATATAAGATCACACGCAGGAGTCCCTCCGAGCGATCTATCACCCTAGTCGATAATGGGCGCGGTTGACCCCACATATCCCTTGTACCCCATTGCCTGCATATTGGCCGCAGCTGCACTGTTTCTGGTACTCCTCAGTGCCTTCATACGGCGAAATTGGAATCTGGGCGTCGCCTTCCTCTCTCTTTGGCTCTTCCTCGAAAACATAGCCAATGGCGTGGACGCCATTGTATGGTCCGATAATGCAGAGGTCAGACTGTATGCGTACTGTGACCTTGGTACGTCTGCTGCTCTCATACCCATCTGACGTCAGTCACATATTAACTATCCGCTAGTGTCGCGTCTCAAAGTTGCTGCTTACATCGGAAGGCCTCTAGCGACCTTCATCATCACACGCCGTCTGTTTCTTATCGCTAGTCTTCGGTCTGTGAAGCTTCTCAGCGACACCTCAGTGCGTGATCCTTCTTGCTTTTGACGATGTACTAACCTTCTGTCCTAGAGACGGCGAGCTTCTATCATAGAGTGGGTCTTAGGCCTGCTCGTTCCCCTGGTCATTGCTGGTCCTGTATGTGCGTAATGCTCGATACATGAAGAAAGAACGTGTCGCACTCAACTCTGGATAAGATTACGTACACCAAGGCTCCCGATTTGGAGTGCAAGAAGGATTTGGGTGCTCAGATGTTCTACAGACATCGATACTCGAGATTTTGACCATCAGGTCATGGACCCTCATACCGCCATTTGTATCAGTTGTCTTCTACTATCGTGCGTCACCTCCTTATGGACTCTGACAATCTGTGCTCATCGCAGTGCGGGCTTCCTCCTCAGCTCTGAGTCTGCGAGTATTCTATCGACGGAGTCGTGATCTCCATGCTTTCCTGCAAAGCAGCGAATCGGACTCTCGAACGAACTATGCTCGGATCCTCGCCCTTGCCAGCATCGACCTTGTACTCGCGCTTCCAATCAACATAACGATTACTGTCCTGAACCTCACGTCGTCGGTGGCCCATAACGGATCGTTGCCTTTCTATCAGGGTTGGACGTCGATACACGACTGGACGAGTCCTTCCAGCTATAGCTATGCGAATCTCATAGCTAGCGGAACTTCCGATGTCGTACAATTCTACTTCACTTATTGGACCAGACCTATCGTCGCCTTTGTCATATTCGGCCTCTTTGGACTAACATCCGAGGCTCGTGCATCTTACGGGCGTGTCATCTACATCATCGGCGGATGGCTGGGGTGGAAGCCGCCCCCTCGTACGCGGGAGGACTCAGGACGCTCATCACTCGGGGAGATAGTATTCGATATACGAGCACAACACTCGCCACTGAGTGATGTCGAGATGGGACCCGGGTACGTACAGTGAAGCTGCAATATCACCCTTGAATATGGTCCAACTCTCTTCCATAGGCCGCACAGCCCAGGTCTTCTGACCCTCGTAACACCTGTCATCAACATCACGAAACAAGATGCCGTACATATAGCAAACAAAAATACCCTGCGTGATCCGGACCCGGAGTCGATGGGCAGTATGCGTGCCGAAAATGACAGGTACGTGCCGAATTATCATCGTATCTTGAAACAGACTTCTCACCTGATTGATCGCGCAGTACAGTCGAATGTCGGATGTCAGTCGCTCCGGTACATGCGCTCGCACGCTGAAAGGCAGTACCAGCGGCATCATGCGTGGTTCATGAGGTTTCGCATCTATCACTCTCTTCGGCTGATCATCTAATCGAGAGACTCTTTTACCTGCTGTTCCTTGATCCCACACTCTTGGCTGTACACAAGCATATCTACGCACATTTTTATTCCCTTACGGATCATTACTTACTCTAACTCACTTGTAACACTAACTCACCTATATACATGCACACTGAGGTGCACGCCCCACGAACATCCCCTGACTCTCTCGCTCCGCGTGTTACCCATCTTCCCATCGCAATCTAATCTCCTCAATTGACTCTCGGTTCTGCGCGAAGACTATTCGCGTACTAAGGCGACATTGAGATCCCCCTGTTGTTGTCTCATCTCAGCCGTACGACATGGTAATACTCATCAGCGTTTGCCGTCTTTTCTTCAGGAGCACAGTCAACGCGTGACGTCACGCGTCAACCAATAGAATGGTGAGTTTGTGACGATCGATAGAGTTTCGTATTTTGCAGACCCGGTCGCTGAATATGTTCACGGGCGGTGCCCACAGTTCGCAATACAGCGGATGTGTGGCAACATCTATGGATCAGAATACGCAAGGTATCACTCAGTCCAACCAGGACCGCTCGCACTCGGCATCTTATCCGGAAGAACTTCGTACGCGTGTGCTCAGAAGCCTTGCCTAGGATAAGTACAGAACTGGGTACAAACTGTTCAATCTGAGAGCCTGATGAACCTTTCTTCATAGTCCTTCGACTACGTTCCACGCGGCTCTTCGGTCACATCATACGCGATCATCGATTGCGAGCGGGTCTGACGTTGGAGGCGACGGCGCCACAACGGCGCGTGTTGTCTTTCCCGGCGTACCTTGCCGGTCCGCTCGATACGGTCTGCCTCTTGGAGGATGGGTACAACGACAGGGGGACCTCAGAGTAGGCGATGGGCAACAGCGGTCTCCTATTGGTAGCCAAGGAACAAGTCGCAGCGGAGGCGGCCCCCCGGTGCGGATAGCGCGAGAAGTGCCGGGCCGGGCGAACCGGGGCGGTGTGACATCGTCGTCTCCTTCGACCCCCGCGGTTGAGTTCAGCAGAGGGCGGCCCGCTCGGTATATAAGATGTCACCGCGAAAGTTTCGCGCAAGATACACCTCCTCTTACCTCCACTACCATGTCCCTCCAGAAGACGATCCCTCTCTCCAACGGCAAGACGATCCCCCAGATCGGCCTCGGCACCTGGCTCTCCGCTCCCGGAGAGGTCAAGCAGTCCGTACGTACACGCCCGAATGGCACTTGCCACGTATCAAGGTGATTGACTATGTATAGGTGATCTGGGCCGTCGAGGCTGGTTACCGTCATCTCGATCTTGCGAAGATCTACCAGAACCAGGACGAGGTACGTGTCAACGCGATGCGCCACAAAGCGGGGAAGTCGATGCTGATAGACGCTACTTCTTTGCAGGTCGGTGCCGCGCTCAAGGAGCTGATCCCGAAGGTTGTCAAGCGGGAAGAGCTCTTCATCACTTCGAAGCTCTGGAACAACTCCCACCGCCCTGAACTCGTCGAGGCTGCCCTCGATGACACGCTCAAGGAGCTCGGCCTCGATTACCTTGACCTTTACCGTGCGTCAATCCAGATCGTTTCGTTCCACTGACGCTCAACGTCTTCTATCATCACGTAGTCATCCACTGGCCCATCGCGTTCGTTCCTGGCGAGACGCTCACGCCCAGCAAGGACGGCGTTGCCCTGCTCGAGGATGTTCCACTTGCCGACACTTGGAAGGCGGTTCTCAAGCTCCTTGACACCGGCAAGGTCAAGGCTGTCGGCGTGTCCAACTTCACGAAGGAGATGATCGAAGGCATCTACAAGGCAACCGGCGTATACCCGACCGCGAACCAGATCGAGGCGCACCCGCTTCTCCCGCAAGACGATCTCGTCGCATACTGCAAGGAGAAGAACATCCACATCACGGCGTACTCGCCTCTCGGAAACAACTGTTCGTCTCGCTTTGCGACTTCTTATGACAGTCATCGCTGATGTAACGTGTCTAGTGACTGGCGAGACCAAGATCGTCGACTACCCCGAGGTCAAGGAGGTTGCCGATAAGCTCGGTGCGACTACCGCACAGGTCCTCGTTGCCTGGGGCGCACACCGTGGCTACTCAGTCATCCCCAAGTCGGTCAACAAGGGTACTTTCACCTGTCAACCGCTTGTTCCCAGCCAATACTGACGTGTTCGCCATTAGACCGCATCATCTCGAACTTCAAGCAGATCGAGCTTTCGCCCGAGGACTACGAGAAGGTCACAAAGATCGGTGTCGGCCGCCACCGCCGCTTCAACATTCCGTACACTTACAAGCCCACCTGGCCTATCAACCTCTTCGACGAGGAAGTCGAGAAGGAGGTCACTCTCCGCCCGACGATCGCATGAGCGACGGGCTCTCGCCGCATGGTTCTCGGTCTTTATGGGGTCTGATCGTAGGCAGCTTGCTAGAAGATGTACATCCATGTAAAATACACACGTCAAAGATGCAATACCTTGAAAACATCGTGTACCTTGAGTGATTGATGCCTCCAAAATCGTCACGATTTCGAAACCCAGCCCAACTTCCGCGCATATGCTTTGCTCTAGCCTCTCACATAGATTATTCAGACTTTGAGTCCGTGTCCAACTCACACAGAAAGTACGATCGTGTAGTGATCGCACAGGGTCCCTTCTATAGCTTTTGATATAGATATGTGGATCATGATGGACTCAAAGCCAGGGAGGCACGGTCCCACGAAGTGATCTTGGAGGGTCTGTGTTGGTGATGCACTGTGATGGCCGTCGCGATTTTGACTATACAGTTTTCACTTACCAAAGGGCGGGTGAAGGGTGCATACGCACTCTAGTTCAGTTGCTGAGATGTACTCACTAGACTCGGCTGTTGTATCCCGGGCTTCAATGAAGCAGAGTCAGCGATTCCGACATTCTCTCATGGTCCGTGAAGCGGCAGCACTGAATCCGCATCTATACATTAGCCCTTCAGTTCCTCCATGCCTGAAACTGGCTCCGCGGATACACGGGTACCCATAGTAATGATGATAATGAAAAGTCTCCCACACCCATTGTATGTTGCGTGGGGCGTTTCAAGTCCGTGTACGAGGCTTGCAGCTGCCACTTTACTGATAGTTTCAGCTTACGTACCAGTAGCCTAAGCGGTATAGGCTGAGGCAATAGGCAGTCAACTTCACACTTGAATAGAGCTGTTGTAGTGGCGCTCTCTGGCCGCAGGCGTCCGATAAAGAATCCGTCCACCCTTCATTACACGTAGACCGTGCCCGAGACGTCGTCCATTACGACTCGAACGGTCCGCAAACTCCACTACTTCTGAACCTCTCCGCGCATGCACCGCGTCGCCCTCATTGTCTGCGGGAAGCCGGGAAGGGACCCTCTGAGCCACTCGAAACTCGTCTGAGTTGCTCTGTTCTCCGGAACACCAAGGAAGCCCGAGCACCTGAAGGTCTTGTCTCGGAGGTAGGCTTCATATCTCGAGTTCCCATCTTGGAGCGTAGCGACAGATGGATGTTAAGCCAGATCTACAGAGAATGACGAGGGTCATCGCTTATGAGTTCCGCGAGATTTGCAGGCACATTTGGGCCGAACACTGGGCTCACATTTGCGCTCGCTCCCATCTGAAAGTAGACGGGTTGCACAAGCGGGCTTTCAAGGTCAAGACGACCGACTTCGATCATCTCGCCACAATCGCCACGCCGGCGAAAACATTTAGGCCGGCAAGCCCAGTAGATTGGAGAGTGTACAAGTGAGGGTTGGTGAGTTCTCTCGGATACAGCATGGACGGTCTGGACAACAACGAATCCACTACTGAAGAGGCGCTGAGTCAACTCCACACTAACCTCTTGTGCATGACAAGAACCTCGGCTCACGATTGCTTGTCCGATGATGAGAGTCATGACGGATAGAGGTTGTGCTAGTGCCAGCGCCGACCATCCCTGAAGGAGCTCGCTCTCGCCGACTCGTTTCAACTTCCGGTAAGGAACAACGCCTTGAGAAGATGGGTTACGAGACTTTCGGCTTCTTCGCGGCCGAACGTAGTGCGTTGGTGGCACGACCTAGTCCGCCGCTCAACGAAGTCAGCGCTCGAGGGAGCGCAGTCCTTAGCTTGAAGCGAACGCATATAGGCACATGGCCCGAGTAGTGTATGCAAAGTCACTAACGAAGTTAATGAAGACAGGAGGGATTTTGACCTTGTGACGACCTTTCTTCCGATTGAGTACCGCTGCGAGCGCGTGGCGTTCCATGCTACTAGTTGCAGAGAGCTATCTCCGTTTGTCGGACGGTTCATCAACATACGAGGGCGGGTATGGCGTGGGGCTTGAGCTTGACCCACCATTTGACAGGCCAGATCGATAATCATTGTTCAACTCATCGGCGGGCGGAGAGTATTGATTCATTGAGGGCGGAGGTATGCAATGCAAATGTTGAAGAGACTGAGAAAGGGCGAAACGCGATGGATAGCCGTTGTATGACAGGTCCTGGGTAGACGGCTTCGCTGCCTCATCTGATACACGAAGGTCAAGTGGTAGCACGACATCGTGGTCGCTCTCAAGTGACAACTTGTCCAACTGTGGCCCGCGGCGACTTGAATGCACGGAACACTGCGGAGCCAACGGGACGGCGGAACCGACCGTGACGCGCCGCGCCGCAAGGTTGCATCTACTCTTCCTCTACTTCCATCTTGCCCGGCTTTAGACACCTTCGCTATCGTATCAAACCAGGCTGTGCTACCCACAATCTACTTCTCGGCTCCGTCGTGATTGGGTGAACCCACTGATATCACGTACGTATACGCTCCCAGCGAACCGTGCGCTGGTGATCTGGCATGCATTTGTTCGTATTGCACTGTTCGAAAGCCAGACAACATCCGTGGCCAGTGATCGTGGCTTTTGAACATCTCTCAGCATTCTTTTCTTGTCAAAGCATGGCGCGTCAGCTTGATACAAAAGTACGACGGCCATGGACTCCAAGAGCGGAGCCCTTGTCATCGCTGCGCTCGCGAGGCCCACGTTTCACTGCCCCTGCCCGCGCGATCTCAACGAGGCCGAGGCCAGACTTATAGGCTACCAAAGTCTTCTTCTCCACCAAACTAGGCCTCTTCGCTTTCAGTCTTTTCTACATCGCCAGCGCGCGCACCATGGGCCAACATCCTTCTCGTCTGCATCACAACGTCGTACTCGACGATGAGTCGAGCTTTCATCCGCGCACACATCGCCGTCGTCCAGCCAAGCTCGATCTCGCCAAATCTCGCCATGCCGACCAAAACCTTCCACCTCCGCCACCAGCACCTCTGTCACCACGATCGCTGAACCATGCGATCAGTGTTCGGTCTCTTCGCCCTGCGACACCCAAGTCGAAACCCTCCGTCCGTCACACCCGGTCCCACTCCCAAATTCTTGCGCCTCTTTCTGCTCGTCATCTTGCTGCGGATATCCCTCCTGTACCCTCACAGATCACCGAAACAGCGCGCGTCGTTCCTGTCCCTCTTCGCGCAGACCATGCTGCAACGGGCAATAGCCTGCACTCGGTGCCTTCATACACCGTCATCAACCACCTGAGCTCTGCTTCGGACGGAGCCAGGACACAATCTGCTTCGGACAACGCCCTTGCACCGCCGCTCGAGGCCAAAGATGCCGAGCCTGCGTTCCTCACAGCGTACCCCGAGTACGCCGCGACCATGCCAATTGATCTTCTTCGCAGCACCGAGTACACGCGTCTACAACCTAACAGTGCCTACGTCGATTCTATGGGTGGTGCCCTGTACCCGGAGATGCTTGTTCGCTCGCACGCTGCCTTCCTTCAGAACGCTGTGCTAGGCAACACCCACAGTCAGAGTGCAAGGTCTGACCGCATCTTCAACCATCTATCGATTGACAGAGTCTAAAGCTGATGCTCTCCCTTTAGCTCTAAACTCTCGATGGCCCACGCAGCCGAGGCGCGGTCCAGCGTACTGTCCCACTTCAACGCCCCTCCAGGATCAAAGGTCATCTTTACTTCGAACGCATCCCACGCGCTCAAGCTTCTCGGGGAGTCTTTTCCCTTCGGTCCAAAGTGAGCCCTCCCTTGCCTCGTCGTCACATGAACTGACCACGCCCAGGTCGGCCTACGTGCTTCCCGAGGACGCGCATAACTCGGTGCATGGCATTCGCGAGTTTGCACGTCGTGCAGGCGCGGAAGTCGTGTACATGCCTGGGCGAGAAGGACGCGGAGGCATTGATGTTGTGAAAGCAAGGGCAAGTTCAGTACGGTTCATCCTAAGGTCCTTTGCTCATCGTGGCTTCAGCGCGCACTCATTGCCAATGCCCCTCGTTCCGGAGAGGCGGCTCTGGCTGCATTCACTGGCCTCTCAAATTTGACGAACGCCAAGATATCTCTGGAGCCGATACCCACAGCTGTTGTTCCATTGGCCGCTGCCGTTACTCCTGCCGGCGCCTCTCGCTCTCGTCGGGCCACTGCGACGAAGGTCGGTCATTTCGGCGCCTCGCTTCCAACGCCTCCTGCATCTGCAACATCGGCTTCCTTCCCTCGCCATCCAATTCCCCTCGCTCCGGCTTTTGGGGATCCTGCGCCACCCCCGGTCTCCCTTCCGATCCATTTTCCGTTCGCCGAACCGCTTTCACCGCCACCTTCCGCGAGTGCCGCATCATTTCCCTCCCATCCCTCGGCTACCTCCGCAAACCCCAGCATATCGATGTACCCATCCCTTGTCACGCATGCGAAGAGTTTGGGATACACCACTCTGCTTGATGCTGCTGCCCTCGCACCAAGCACTCAGCTGGACCTGACCGTGACGCCTGTCGATGCTGTTGCGATCAGTTTCTACAAGATGTTCGGTTATCCGACTGGCATCGGCGCTCTGATCCTGGGCCCGGGCGTTGGCGAATGGCTCCTTGATGGCCATGAACGCGGATTAGGCGGTCGTCCCTGGTTCGCTGGCGGTACAGTGGACGTCGTGCAAGTCCCAGGTCAGGTCTATACGCACGTCGACAACGTGGAAGAAGCCTTTGAAGTGAGCATCAATTCCACCCATTCCTTCGCACTGACTAACGACATTCCCTAGGACGGCACGCTCAACTACCTCCAATTGCCGGCGATACCTCTCGGGCTTAACCTCTTGCGCTCATATCTTCCTTTCATACCAACCCGTGTCACTGCCCTTGCGCATTATCTGGCCACACAACTGTCGTCACTACATCACGACGACGGGTCGCCGGCATTTCTCGTACTCAGTCGTATTCCCGGATGGATTGACGCAGTCGGAGGTGGTCGACGTCGCCGACTCCCCTCTGTCGGTCGCTCGTTGGGTGATGATGAAGACCGCGACGGGGAAGGAACGGGAGGCACTGTGAGTTTCGTTGTATATGACAAAGATAGCGAATTCGTTCCACTATCAACGATCGCCTCGTCTGCGGCGGCCTCTGGTATCATGCTACGCACCGGTTGCATGTGCAATCCTGGAGGAGGTTAGTGATGACCGTCCACATAATCTCTGATGTTGAGCTGATCATCTACTTTCTTCAGCCGCTGCGCTACTCGGATTGTCTCCCTTTATGGCGGAACTGCGCACTGGCGCTACGCTTTCAGCTTTAGAGGCCGCCGCGGGTTACGAACTTGGCGTCGTACGCGTTTCCTTCGGACTTGCGAGCAGTTTCGCCGATGCACTTGCCGTGGCCAACTGGGCTCGGGCCAGCCTCGCGAGCGATTGGGAAGGCTTCCGGGACGATACGGCGGTTAACCGTAGCAGCCCCTATCAGTTTGGCAAGGCGCTCTAAGCAAGCCACGTATCACGCCTATGTTTCCGGGAAAGATATCGGACTTATGGTGTACCTGTACTATGGAATGAATGTATAGCGGATCGCAGGGACGTTATAGGACAGTATGATGATGGGGTATAGTCTAATTATTCAAGATCTTCTCACGACAATGAAGAGATAGACTGGGATAGACCAGGGCAACAAGCATATGACTACCCTCTTCGCACAAAAGTAAGCGGGATCGCCGCAGGCCTGATATGTCATGAGCTTCAGAGCGTGTACTCATTCGCGGGGCGACTTACGTGGTGGTCATACCCGGCTTGTAAGCCAAGACGCGCTCTTTTCGTTGCTCGAATGTCTCGTGTGCGAATTTCGGGTCATCCGCGATCTTGACGGTATAGCGCGTAAGGATATGGGTAAGGACGACAGCCGCCTCTGTCTCAGAGAACCTACGCCCGATGCAAGCCCGCGATCCTGTAAGGGCCGATTAGTGACATCTTCTCCATATTTATGTAGACCGCAGTGAGCTACCAGTGCTAAACGGGATGAATGCTTCTCGGTTCCAATCGCCAAGAAATCGTTCAGGTTTGAAGGCGTGTGGATCGGCCCAATGTTGAGCTGAAATCGGATTGAGTATCGGCAAGGGATATTCTTCAAGGTGAAACACACGGTTATAGTGCAGACCCATGGCGTCAAGCATAACAATTGTACCCTTCGGCACAGGAATGGTCACCCTTTGCCGCTGCTGATTAGCGACATTGAGAGTTGTATCCTCGGTGCAACGCTTTGGTATTGCAGCGACCTGATGGATGGAGAGTTTGGTCAGATCCGTTTTTGATTTGCCGTGCCTGCACTTACAGGTGGTCTGTGAGTTTGTAAGCGCGACTGATCGGCCAAAGAGAACGGCCAGTACTCACTGCATCCGCAAAACCTCGTAGACTACTCTGTAGAACAACTGCATGTCAATATCAGGGAGCGGTTCTCGCTAGAGGGACTCGCACGCGTTCGTGTACACCAACGAGTCGATATCGTCGTATGTCTGGGTTCTCTCACTCAAACGGTGGGATGAAAGATACAGGGACCTCGACGTACCAATTCTCTTTGAAAGCCGCCCGTTGTCGTCTCAACTTCGCGATGAAGACAATCTTGAGCTTCAGGGTAGAGGGCAAGATAGGCCAGAGCAAAAGCAAGAGTGTGTGCTGTTGTCTATTAATGGTCACCAACTGTCCAATACACATTGAGGTGGAGCATAGCGAACCTCGTGCCCCGCCAGTAGGAAGATGAAGATGTTCCCTGTATGTATTGGTTGAATGAGCGAGCAGAAGAATGGACCTTCGCGAAAAGTGCTGACCCGTCAACTCGCGATCAGTGGCCTTCGCGTCACCGTCGTCCAATGCGCCCATGAGAAGACTGAAGAGATCAGCCCCAGAGTGCCCATCGTGTATATACCGGCGTTCGTCAATCATTTCCATCATGTATTGCTACTCATGATCATCAGTCATCGTTCACGGTGGTGAGATCAACAGAAAGACGTACGCGCATTTCTTCAACGGATGAACGAGCGGTGCGCAGCTTCTTGTTCAGGCCCAACGCCCACTTTGGCGTCGACATGACTGTAATAAGCTCCGCACATAGCGTGTGTACTGCATCTTTAAAGGTCATCTGATGACCTGGCGGAGGAACGCGATTCTCAAGCCATTTAGCACGCTGACCAAAGCCTGCGGTCACTTCTCAGTCTTCATAGTCTCCCCGTACGAAGAATTGTTCGAACCGGCGGCACTGATGACGAAGATCGCTATAGGGATGGTGAAGTCCACGGCGTCTTTCACGGTCACCTCCGAAGCGTTTCCCCACACGTCATTAAGCAAGTCGTCGACAATATGAGCCGTCTCATCCCACACCAGGCGATTATTGTTCTGCGAGCCGTAAGCGAGTGAGTAGACCCCAGAAAGACCATCAGCTCAGGATGGCGTACCTCGGAAAATGCAGGAGCGGTGATCTTACGATGTCTCTTCCACTCATCACCTAATATGCCATTAACGCGTTATCCCATGGCAGTGAGACCTTGATAGGCACCTTCGGATGCGACAATGTTGCTCCCATACAGGCAGATACTCTCATAAACCTCTACGGGCTTTTCAAAGCGAGTACGATCAGACGTCACTTGCTAACGTCCACATCAGATACGGAACCGGCATGTGCCAAGTCGAAGCACGTACCTTGATAGTCTCCGGATCGGCAAGTATCCAACTCATCTGCGCCTTCGGGAACCAGTTGACCTGTGGATCGGTATGTCAGAGCGCGACACAGAAGACTGCGGAGTGATCGTGACGCACCCAAGATATGACATCGTAGCCTGCTTCTTGAAACGCTGTCGGTGGTGGGTGAGTATAGAAAGTATGACACGGAATGGTATGGTTGCATACGTCTAAACTTGCCCATCATAAGGGGATCCTCCCCAAGTGCTCTATCATTGATCGTCTGCAATAGCGAGAGAGGATGTGAAGTCATTCGAAATCCGGGGAAATGCCTGTCGCGATTTGCAGAATGAGCATTCAAAGGAGAGGGGCACAGGTGAACGCGTGACTCACCCAATGCGGGAGAGCATGCGTTTGTAGTTGAGGAGAAGGTGAGCAACGTAAGCAAGCCCGAACGCAGACGCAACGAGCACTGCAGATGGCATGATGAGCTCTTCAAACTACTGTTGGTATCCAGTCCTGAATGTCGAGTACGCCTAAAGTATGCCAGTGTGAGAAACAACGCCACGAGTGACAGAGACTACAGCTTCTGAGATCGCAGGAGCCTGGTGATTTGGTTTGGGACTTCGGACACGAGCCACTATCCTCGTAGCAGAGAATGTACTCAGGTTCACAATATGAGGGGAAGAAGCGCAGTTTTCATCGCGGCCACATATATGTAGAACTCCAGATGGTGGCCGTCGCACATCATGGCGCGTTTTGGGACGGAGCGCGAGCCGTCGCCGTGCCTTCCGCTGCTGCTGTCCAAAGATGATACTTTTTACTGATGGGTTTGACCTCCGGTCCCTGTCGATTAGTGGTTAAATCATCACGTTGTGGTTGTTGAAGCATTCCGTGAAGCCGGGAGCTCGAATCTCCCCAGGGACATGTGGTTGTCCTTCCAATTTTTTCCTCCTGCTGTTTGGCCCCTCCATTGAGCCTCATATTGAAATAGACGTACGCCATCGACGTGACTGGCGCTTACGCACGGGGCAAGCGCATAGGATTTTGAAGTCAGGGCGAGAAACTGGGTGAGTTACGGTTGAACGTTGAACGCGCGTGTCGGACTCTCGTCCGGAGTCACCTCGGCCGCGCGTTGACTCTTGTGCTCTCTGTGGGTTTTACCATACGCCCCGGATTGAACTCCCTCAGGAGTATAGAAGTCTGTTCGCATCATGCTGCTGTGCGCAGTACTACCAGTAGGCTTGCTGAAAGAAATGCTTCACGTCGTGCCAGTGTGAGACCGGGCAAATCGCGGTATGCGACGTCTGGATAATTATTGATGAATCATTGCCAGTTCTCCTCTGGCGTCTGACAGGCCACAGGCATTCGTCGTATCAAGAAGCTCATTGGTTTCTTCTCTGCAAGCTCGGAACTTCTTGTAACTGCATGCCGATGGTTTTGTACTGCCTGGTATCGCGGCCTCAGTATCCGGACCCCCGTCTTCTCCCTTGCGAGACACAGCTGGGCAGAGCTGGCCATATTGCAGAGATAGGCACTCGGTCCGTGCTTCACCCCAGACCATTGGTGCCGAGCTTGCATCTTCCACACGTAGCGACGATGGTGCATCTGAGCGAAACCGCAGCCCCCCGGGGCAACTGTGGAACAGAGCCTCTTGTGTTCGAAGTGCAAACTGCGAACAATGTACATGGGGTAGACAACTTTCGCATGTAACGTAACTTAGTATCAATGCATACTCGGCATTACCCGTCCATTCCGCACTTCTTGGGCGGCTCAGCTATTGTAAGTAGAGGATCATTCTCACGCAAGCTTAGCGGGCCCCGCCAACTTTGTCACCAGCAAGTTGTCCCGCACGATCTCGTCTTTCTTGGCCACGACTTCATTGAGGTCCCAGGTGGCCTGTATGTATCTTGGAAACCCAATGAGACACGCAGTCCAACTCTAGTGTGAATACTACGTACCTGCCTGTGAGGAACTCGGCGTTGCGCGCGGTCAGCCAGAGGAACGTCGCGGCGGGCAGCTCGACTGTATCAGGAAGATCACCAGCCTGAACGGCGGTGTCCACGCCCATGCTGGTCAGGACGACATCTGCCCCGGGAGTCAAAATCGTGCCAGGGTGCACGGCGTATACCGGGAGGGAGGGGTAGTCTGAGAACGCAGGTCAATAGGGATGATCCGAGTGAGGACACTTTTGCACTTGCCTATGGCGAGGATCTCGACAAAGCGATTGAGCGCGTGCTTGCTCACCTACGAGAGGACGTCAATCAGCGCGTCGATCGGGGTCATCATGAATGAACGCACGCTGTAGTCAAAGAAGGCGGGAACGCGGATATGAGCCGCTGCTGACGTTGTGGCGATAATCTGACCCTTTGATTTGAGCAGCTCGGGGATAGCCGCACTACGGTGGGTCAGCCACAGCCCGCTCTTCGGTAGTTGACGCTTACTGGACAACGTTCACGGTGCCACGCACGTTGACCTCTTGCGTTTTCCACCAAGCCACGGGGTCTTTGTCCGCGAATCCTGCGCAACAGCGTCAATGATGCGGTCCTCAAGGTTGCGGTAAACGACGAGGGCGAGACATACTGCTTTCAGGGCCAGCAACCATGATAAATTGGTTGGCAATTACGATGTCCAGCTTGCCCCATGCATCAACGGTGGCCTTCACGGCGCGCTTGCCAACTTCGGGGTCCGAGATATCTCCAGCAAGAATGAGTACCTGTGCGCCTTTGACGCCCGCCTCTAGGTCTGTCTTCGCCTTCTCGAGCCTATCGACGCGACGCGCGACGATGAGAACCTTCGCCCCAGCCTTGAGGTAGAATAGCGCTGTAGTAAAGCCGATGCCAGTCGAGCCGCCGGTAATGAGGACGACCTTGTCCTGGAACGTCTTGCTGGAGAAGTGGGTGGCGGGATTGATGAGCGGGTATACGCTGTGCGCGAAGGGTTCAGTAAAAGACACGCCTCATAGACAGGATGCACGTACTCATGCACAGCGGTGAAAATATCGCCTTCGCGAACGTCTGGGAGCGACGACATGATTGACGGCTGTTTTATATGTGCGTCGATAGGCGAGACCCAAAATGAAGGTGCTGAGGACAGCCTGATGGGAGGAAAGAGCTTTTATACGCTTCGGATGTACCCAAACAGTGAGTAGCGTTCCCGCGGTAGCATCACCGCACAGGCTCATCCACGCAAGACGCGGGCCGTTACTTCGTAAGACAGGTTTCGCTGGATTCGGAGATACGAGTAATCCAGTAGGTGTGGCTGGAAAGCTGAACATCGTGCAAGCTTGCCCGCGCTAACCATCCTGCTGTCACGGTTGTTTTGTTTATATCACGCAAGACAATCCTGCCAGCGAGATGCACAGAGACGTCATGCAGTACCTGCCCGGATGCTGGCTGGATGTACGCACGGCCCGCGCTTGCTGGTAACCCAGGGAATAAAGTCGTGAGTGCCAGTAACTCAACCTTGCTTTCAAACCACGTAGCCTTACCTGTAAACGCCGCGCCCCGTTACGACAAAGGCATAACTCCGATTCCCCATGGAGATTAAGACATGTAGTGATGACGCAAAGGATACGGTGCCGAGCCCATTCCGGGTGAAGTCTGCGCAGTGGGGACACGCGAGTCATGGTCGGTTGCTCGCTACTCATGCGCCTTGCGAATAGAGGCTTCTAGCCTTTGGGTATTCTTGAAAAGATACATCTATCACAAAAGTGGAAGAGAGAAACCATACTGAAAGGACGTTGGCTTTGACTATAATCTCAGCGGTCATGAGTGTGGGAGGCAAGAGGGTGTGGCCTCAAGTGCGCCGCGGCTCCGAGTCCAACCCTAACCTACAGTACGATTGTGCAAGCTCGGCTGAGGCACACACGTATTTCTGCTGCCTTGACACAGCTTATCTCTCACTTATGTACAGCGCAAATAAAGTCGCCGTGTATCCCTCAAGCCCGAGCACCTTCAGCCGTGTGCACGGGGAGGACGTGACATTGCAAGGGTGGTTGACCGTTGAACGGCGTGCGCAGGTTTCCGTCTGGGCAGACTCAGGCGCTTGCTCATGTCTACATGTAACAGCGCCACGCGGTTCTCTAGGTGGGGTTTGGGTTCAAGCTCTGTATCATTGACATTGAGTGGTACGGTGATGGGATAATGGTGGCGAGCGGCAAGCCGCGTCGTGGTCCCCGCGCCACACTTGCTTCATGCGTCCATAGCTTTCATGTACTTTGCCATCAACCTCTTGCTTCTCCTACTCGTTTATGCCCCACCAACACTTGGCAGTCATGAGGAGGAATACTCGGAGTCTCTAGAGTTTCGCCCGCTCCGTGATGGCAAGCTCGCTGCCAACTTTGTATTCACAACCACCCTGCATGATACTGTACCGAGGACAGCGCACAGCTTGAGCGAAGACGATGCCCGTACGCGTCTGCGCAGAATCAACATTTATAAGCGCTGAGAGCATGGCCAGCGCAGCATTACACGCTCTTCCCACTCGCGCTCGGCCAGATCCTGCGCGAATACGCCATCACCGAGCTCCATCTGAACCTCAACGCCGGCCAATGGCAGTACGGTCGTTGGGGTCCGCCGTATCAGTCTTCCGTCGCTCCTGGCGCTGAGCTCTGGGCTTGGATGGGAGAAGGTGGTCCAAAGAGGTGCGTCTCAAATCAATATATATTATCGTATATTCTGATCATATTCGCGTGTAGCATCGACGAGCGGTGGAAGGGGACGCAGAACGCGCTGGCCGGCTTATTCTGCGCGTCGCTAGGCAGCATGGACGCCCAGCGCACGACAACGCCCACACGGGCTTTCCCACCCGCCGGCGCCCTCCCATCACTCCCATCCAACGCGTCCTACGCCCTCCGCCATGCGCACCTGCCCTCGGAGAATGTTTGCACTGAGAACCTGACCCCGTTCCTCAAGCTGCTACCTTGTCCGGCAAACGCCGGGATTGCCAGCCTTCTGAACCCGCACAAGTTGTTCGACGCGGATTGGCATGGGTTGGGCATCAACGTGCTGTGGAAGGAGAACGGCGTCGTCGAACTCAAGATGACCGTCGAAGCTGTATTCGATCCGGTTCGCACGTCTCCAGACGGCAAACGCGGTACGCATCTCTTTTATGCCTCCCGCGCGACTCGTACTGATACCATTCGCTCCAGACTGGTCCTTCCGCTCCATATTCGGCCGCACGATACAACGTCCATGTCCCGTCGCATGGGACGCTCATGTCTGGGTCAACACAGAGGGACCCGAAGGCTGGTCTATCGAGCCCGAGTCCAACGTCGCGTGGTCTCACACTGAGCCGGGTGGGCCGGTGGACGGTGTCGGCTTCGATCTCATCGATGTCTTCACCGACGGGTTAGACTTGGTCATGCGATGGCCTGATGAGAAGAAGTTCGCATACCGTCAGTACTTCACTTGACTCGGTCACACCTCAGGATACTGACATACGTGCACAGCCCTTGATCTCTCATCGACGACAAACTCCAATGTCTTGGTCGACCGTACAATGAAAGGATCCAGTCAGACCTCCGGCGAGCTCGTCTTGAGTATGAAAAACAATATGAACAAAGAAGCGCGCTTTCTCTGGCTCGAGACGCTACCCTGGCATGTCGAGCTATACTTGCATACTCTGCATGTTACGTGTGCGGACGGACATTCGTGCGGTATGTGTTGTTTATTCCATTCTGTATCCCGAACATCGCGGCTAACTAGCTCACACAGACCATCTTCTCGGCAATTTGACATACACCCCACCCGTACCACATGCCTCCGCCGCTCTCCTCCAAACCGAACTCATCCTCCCACCTGGCGGGCATCTCCACGTCACGGCCCAAGTCCGCAAGTCCTTCCTTCGCTACACCGAACACCCGCCCGACGCCCAACGTGGCTGGGACTTACCGCCAGCCGTTCTCGTCGATATCACCCCATGGTTCACTCAGACCTATCAAAGGATATACACGCGTCCGTTGCTGGTCGACCTTGCAACTCCGGACTTCAGCATGCCGTACAATGTCATCATCATGACTTGCACGCTCATCGCGCTGTGCTTTGGGAGCGTCTTCAATATGCTCACGAGGAGATTCCTGGTGTTTGACAGTGAGGGGAAGAAGGTCGCCGGTGGAGAGAGCGTCCCAGAAGGAGATGTGCAGAAACCCAGTGAGGGTGAGAATGGGTCATGAGCGCATGAGCGCGCAAAACATGATTATATATGCGCATTAAGAATGCAATGCCATATAGTGAATACGCCAGTGCACTTTCTCGGCAGAAACCTGCGGAGTCCGGACCGAGCTTACGATGCTTTTCGTGGTGCGATATACAGGGATTCCCTGACGACCGTTGGGCCGCTGTCTACTTGTCTGAGTGCTCTCAGTGAGCAACGGTGCTTCACAAAAAGATGGAAGTAGGGAAAAAATGTACTCACATTCGCCACTCTCTTTGCGTAACTCCACCTTAGACTCGTCATCCGACTTCTGTTCCATACCCTCGAGCACAGTATCGACCTCACTCTGTTTCTCGACAGAGGACTGAGGTCCCACGAAGCTTTGCTGATGCGTCCTGCGAAGATCATTCAACTTAAAATCCCAGAGTGGATGAGGAACATCGTACCCAACACCCGTTTCCACGTCGCCGAGCGTCATGCCTTGGGAGTCCTGCGTCCGAGGGCCAAACTCGATCTCTCCGAAAGACGCCTCTAAGTTTCGCGCGCGCGAGGTTGGCTTGCAGCCGAGTAATCCGAGGACAGTATAGATGATGCTCCAGTACGATGCGCGCGCCTCGGACGTTAGGCCGAAGATGCCGAAGATGCCGAACGATAGCGCGACGGACACCCACCTAGCGAAGTAGTTTTCTGCAACATTCGTGGTCCCTCCGGCTTGTACTTCTGCATAGGATATTCCCAGTGGTTCCCATGCCCACTCATGTACCTCCATCCAGCCTCCGTAGAATGGCAGAGTCTGCCCTTCCGTATCTGTCGCGATGAGAACGAGGTTCACGATGCCGATAGGCAACGTGAACAAGAGATCGATGCTTGCGAGGCAGAGGATGCGGATGTAGCTTGTTCGGGAGACTGTCCTACTGCTTCGTAGGAAGCTGTTGGTGTCACGGCTCTGTAGGTAGAATGTCCGCACTACGCGTGCTGTGATGTATTAGGACATCGGGAGAGGATCAAGAGCGCGCGGCTACTCACGATAGTAGAAGATTATGGAGACGAGAGGTGGGATGACAGTCCATATCTCGATAGTCAGGATCTCGAGGATGGATGTTTGCACAGCGTTTCCGCACCCAAATCCTTCCTGTATTACAAACCTAAGCTCCTGGTGCACGTAGTCTTGCAATCGCCTGAGCATGAGATACCATGTTTCGCAAGAAAGAGGGACTTACATATAGGGCCAGCTACCAACAACGGAAAGATAAAGCCCAGGGTCCACTCTATACACATATTGAAGCGTCTCTGTCTAAGGCTGAGTAACGGGTGAGGTTGAGAGAGGAGTGCGTGCATACTGAGGCAGTATTTGGAAGATCGATAGATTGGAGGCTGGCAACCAGATACAGCCGACGTGTGATGATAAGGGTGGACATGGGCTTGGCTATATAAGTGGCCATGTCCAGACGCGATGCTGACAACCACAACGTTACATTCTTCGTCTCATATTGACAAAAAGAATACGCACCGAAGTCACAGAACGCATATGATTTGAGGTCGATGTTGTCAGACCACACGATCGTATCCGCGGCGTAAGTGACATTCTCGAAAAGAAGCCAGAAACACAGGAAGGCAACACCAAGATTCCAATTCTGCCGTATTAAGCTAGTCAGAAGTACAAAAAGCATCATCAAGCCTGCAAGGGTACTGGCGACGGGATACAAGGGGTAGGTTGGGTCGACAGGTCCCATGATAGCTGGTAGAGTTTGGCGTCTCCCTGGACTGCGCTCAGCCTATAAGTATATGAAGACGGCGGCATCCCGTATCGCCTCTCCCGCAACACACAGATACTCCTTGAGACATACTCTCATGGGGCATGCAGATGTACGGTGAAGAGCTTTTGAATGGGTCTTCTCCCGCGGGCGGTCCGTTACGCCTACAACCTCAGTAAAGATCCAGATGATCGTCCTGGTGATTCCCATATGAGGGGAGCGTTATCTCATCCTCGCAAAAGAGTCTTGAGCCAACCGGGGAGGTATACAACTTGTGATCGGCATGAATTGCGGGCAACGCTGTTGGGCCAAGAGGACAAGGTGGCAAGGTACACGTCCACAGAAGAGGGAAGACAATACATGGCTTCTGCTCGAAGTGGGTTGAGCAGTACCGGTGTATGTAGCCTCTGCACTGTGCCTGGCTGCAGTACGGCGTAAAGCAGCGCTGTTCCGCAGCGATGATGGCCCGTCCAGGGCCTTCGATATCGCTGTCTGTACGAACAGCGCCCTCACAGCGCCCTGGATTCATGCCGCAGGTCTGGGCTCCTCGTCGATGGTATCGTAGAGAGAAGGGTCTGCCTTGCTAAGCGGATGCCCAACATTGCCAACGGGCCGCAGAAGCGTCGAGTATACAGCGATCGTAGATGGGATCAGAAGGCGCTCGCGAGCCTTCTAAGTAGCCCTTTCGCAATGTTCATGGTTCATACGCGCAAGCGCCGTTTACGAAGGCACCTTCGTGCCGATCCATCGAGTTGGTGGTGGTCGCGCAACAAGTCGCCGCAGCTTGGTCTGAGCAAAATCGGCGCGACCGCACCGAAGGCGACGCACCACGTGCAGTGTGACACAGCTTGATGACGCGCACTTCTGTCATCCAAAATGACGGAAACCGACCAGAGCGCGACCTTCGGTATTGATTGCGCGATTAGGGATAGGGTTGCCACGTTCTCCCTTCAATTCACTCATCCCCCCTCTATCACAACTATGTCTTGTTTACTATGCACTGCAAATGTTATGGGCATCTTACAAGAGTGCTCAAGGCAACACGAGCTTGGCCACGAGCGCATCTTTGGCAAGTATTTCTTCTTTCAGCTTCTCTACGTCCCCAAGATCCACCGTTGAGTCAATGAAGCTAGCCACGGAGTCAGCGTTATAGATGGATCAAGCAACCTGCGATCCACTTACCGCCCTTTTAGCCAGTTGTATCTACCCGACGACAGTGCCAAGATGGTAGCACTGGGTAGCTCGGGTGTATCAACGAAGAAATCTGCACGGAGGCCCGTGATCTAAGGGTGGGCCGTCAATGAGTTGCTATGTATGCTCTGAAGAGAACCTCCTACTCGCCTCAGCCATATCCGTCCAGATGGCTCCTGGGTGAACTGCAAAGCTTGTGACGTCCTCATACTCTGTGGTCATTGATACGGACGAGGTTTGGATCGTGCTTGGACAATGATAGGTCCAGTAACGCACCCAATGCGATGAATTCGATGAGACGATTGAGCGCGAACTTGCTGATACCTGCGGAAGCCTGAGATTTAGGCATTCGGCATTGGGGCGCCAGAGCAGACAGACCGTAATCTGAGGCGCTTTGATTTCGTAGCACAGCGCCAATAGAGCTAAGTGCGATCACGTATCCTTTCGTCTTCTTGAGATGGCTGAGCGACGGACTAATTACCATGAGCGTCAGAGCAGTGGTATCAGTGGCAGGAGGACAAACAATGCACCTAACGAAGTTCAGTGTCCCGAGAAGGTTCACTTCTACCGTATTCCACCACTGCTTGACATCGCGATCCCCGATTACTGTTGTAAGCAGTCACAATGACGCTTATCAACTCGAGCAGTGCCTCAAGCTTACGAGTTCCGTCTATCGGAAGCGATACGCCTGCGTTCGTGACCAGGATATCAAGGTGCCCGAAGTGGTCGACCGTATCCTGGACCGCCTTGGCAGCTGCAGCCGTGTCTTTCACGTCCTGCGCGAAGGTGAGAATGTCTGTACCAATATTCTCCTCTTGGATGCGCTTCTTGACGGCTTCGAGATTGGAAGCTGAGCGCGCGACGAGTGCAAGCATGGCGCCTGCACGCGCGTAAAAGGTCGCGATGACGGGACCAATGCCCCTCGACGCCCCTGTGATCAAGACAGCCTTGCCTGCAAATGCTTTGCTTGCGAAAGCGGGCTGTGGGTCTATAGCTGGATAGATGCTATGCAGATATCAGCAGGTTGGCGGATCACCGGGTGATAGTTTGCGTACTCGTGACGGTCTGTGAGGCCCTGAAGCCTCTCGTCGGCGCCTTTCATAACAAATTTGAAGTCATCTAGTCCCAACATTGCATTGAGACGAGACGAAGTATGAGTGAATTGGTATTGGGCTCGTATGGCCGTTATCCGGGCGGCTTATATAGATGCAAACCGCCCATCGGAAAGCCTCGCGCGCGGCTGTTTTCGAGAAATGCATCCCAGGCAACCGCATGGACACGGAAGCATGACACCCTAATCAGTTGGATACGATCGGTACAGACAGGAGCAGTGTTTGAGCTCTCGGTGTAATAAGGAAAGAGAGATGATGGTGGTCGATCCACCGAAGCCGGTGAAACTGGAAGCGCGAGATGAGAGTACAAGTGCCGAGTCTGCTGCATCTTCCGACGCCAGGCATCAGAGTCATAGGGCACATTCTATGCTCTGCGACTATAGTCAGCTAGATCGGTGATGCATAAGGTCTGGATGGCATGATGCGTAATGGCTCCTGGTCATGGCGGTTAAGGTCAAGTCTGTGCGGCACGGCGCGGGCCGCGGCATGCCATTTTCCCAGACCTCGACGCGCGACTCAGACGCGACCCCCTCCCGCTAGAATCCAACTTTCTTCACTTGTATATCGCGTACCATGATGTAGAGAAAGAACCACACAGAGAGTCGTATATCCGCCGCCTTCTGTGCTCGAGTCGCGCCTCCGAGACGCACTCTGGCATTGTCGTGTATTCCCTGTGGTCGAGAGCAGCCGGTCAGCCTATGGTACGACCGAGGCCACTGGTCGCCGGGCGCACCAGTGTGCCTTAGAACGTCGCCAGATCAGGGTAAAAGGCTGGCCAACCGTCCGTAAACAAGGCTGGGACTCATGAGACATTTCACATTATCATATAGACATCCGACAGGGTGAGGCAAATGGATGATAATGCAGAATACATGGGGAACATGGTGACAACGAGCAGCACAATACCGGAGAATAAAGGACATTCTATCACCATATCATGCAGTAGATCGAGAGTGGGATAAGCCCGGGATGGGAACACTAGTGCCGTAGGGTGGAATCATGAAACTCGGATGCCATGTAATGTCCTTCTCCATGAGCATCGACGCCACCGCACCCGGCTCATCACATTCGCTCACCACTTCCTCCCAGTCCTTGTCCGTCTCATCCTCCCTCACCCTGGCCTGCCCAAAATCGATGACGACCGCGCGTTTGGGTGACTGTGCGGGGGACAGAATGACGTTGCTCCATCTCAGATCGCCATGCACGACACCGCGCGGGGCGAAGAGTCGTATATCCTGATATAGCTGGGCTATAAGCTGAGGAGTGACGACTGTGGAGGGAGCGGATTCGATGGTAATGCCTTCGATGAACTCGAATACTAGAGCGCGCGGCTGATAAAAGCGCGGTTCAGATGGGAAGACCTGGCGACCGACGCCCAGGACACGCGGGACAACGGAGCCTTGTAGGTCTGCCAAGCGCGTGTACGCCTTATATTCAGCCTCGAACGACTGCCTAGATTGCGTCTGAAAGTGCAGCTCCCAGCGCGCCGCGCGATGGCGTTGGCCGTCGGCAGAGGTGGGTTCCGGCTCCCTCAACTCCAGTGGAACGCCGCGTTCGAGCTCGCTTAAGGGCACGGGATTTAGACCGACAGCGGCTTCGGCATCCAATGTCCACGGACGAGGGTGAGAGTTGGTATAATGGTTTTTGAAGCGATTGGTGAGATAACGCGGGTCGTAGATCTTGATTACGACCGGGGAGGCGGAGACAGCATCGCAGCGCGCAAGTACCACCACAGCTTGTGTGACGGGCTCAAAAACCTTGATGATAGTGAAGGTAAATTGGCCGAGGTTGGGTAGGCGCTGAAGACCATGGTGGTCGGACAGGCGAACGTCGCTCAGTTGGAGATGGACTTGGTGGTTGGGAAAGGAGGGTTTGTGGCTCATGGCGATGGCGGGTTTCGAAGGAACAGGCAGATATCTGTGATGCTAAGGTTCATGTTCACAGGAAGTTTCGGGAGTAGTGAAAGTGAAATGAGCAGGTGCCGCGTCAATCGAGTGGACGGTAGAGTATAGACCTGTGAGGGTCATGGAGGATCGAGATCAAAGCTGAAGCGCTGATCCGAGTCGTCATGCACGTGCCGCCCACCCTATGATACTTACCCATTTGGGTGTTGTTGTGTAGAATTTGCAAAATACAGTCCAGCCAACTAACTTGCCCGGACTTAAGTTGTACCGCAGCATCACAGTGGCTTTGTGAACAATGACGTGCAATTCATAAAATTAAAATGATTCGACCCAGGCTCGAACTGGGGACCTTCTGTGTGTTAGACAGATGCGATAACCAACTACGCCATCGAACCGATGAGTGCAGAGCCCTAGTAGTAATCTCAATTGTAAATTGCTAACACGCCCGCGAGGTCGCGTCCTGCCGTCTTGAACACCGACGTCCACCCGAGCATCCGCACTTTCGTTCTCAACCACCACCAGCTCCCTCTACCATGTCCACCGCTCACAGACCAACATGGGACCCGGCGCAAGCGAAGGATACGAAGGGCGCCTCGCGTCTCATGTCCGCCCGGGACATGAACGCGCACACGAAGCTTAAGTTTCGGTACGTGCTATGGCCAACTCTCTATAGTACTGTGTTTTGATGCGTAGTACAGTCAACCGGGCCAGACATCTGTCGATGAGGTCAAGAGACGTGACCTGCGCGCCGAGCTCTTACAGGCCGAAGCCGAAGCGCGGAACAAGAAGCGCAAGGCTGCCGGGTTGCCACTGGAGGACGTGCCGAGCGTGGCTGGCGCCATCGAGGCGGCGCCGGAGGAGGAAGAGAGCAATAAGCGGAGAAAATTGCTGCAGGAGGCGCTGGAGAACGACAGGGACGCCGACTCTGACGATGACGATGAGGACGGGGATGGTGACGACAAGATGGATGGTGCGGGGAAGAAGGCGGACAGCGACGAGGATGATGACGAGGACGATTCTGACGATGAGGAGGACGAGACAGCGGAGTTATTGCGCGAGCTGGAGAAGATCAAGCGGGAACGTGCGGCGGAGAAGGAGCGCCAGGAGCGCGAGGCGTCCCAGTCGGCACAGGCAGACAGGGAGCAGGAGATTGCAACCGCAAATCCGCTCTTGAACTTGGCCGCTGCGCTAGGCACACCGCAGGGTGTGAATACGAACCAGAAGGGGACGTTCGCGGTCAAGAAGCGCTGGGACGACGGTATGTGGTGTATTCCCTCAGCATTATATTGCAGATGGCTAACGTTGCTATTGCGCAGATCATATCTTCAAGAACCAGGCTATGAACGAGAAGGACAAGTCCCAAAACGGCTTTGTCAACGACCTCTTGCGGACAGAGTTCCACAAGTACGTTGCTCGTGCATATTCTCTCAATGCCTTTGCTGACGAGACTGTAGGAAGTTCATGTCTCGCTTCGTCAAGTAATCCCTACTGTCATTTATCTATCTCTGTCACTTTGCCACGATGTACTCTACAGTCAATTGCTTCCTGAACGGTCCATGCACGGTTCCTGTTGCCAGACACTCCCACGTCCGAGGCAGCTATGCGGCATCGCTCTGTCAAGTTCTCGCCGAACCCGGTCTTGCATCCCACGCTTTGGCCACCGCGCGCACGCAGGTGGCACTGAGTCTCACTGAGTGCGCATTCATGTGCGGGCTTACTACCGCGCGTGCATAATGTAGATACCTCATGTGGTCATGTCGACTCAGCTCCTGCGGTGGCGAACTCGCCCCTCCACATATCCATCCCCGGTGCAAACAGTTTGAACAATGGCGCACGACCGAGAAACATACGCCGACACTGGCTGGATGCTACACTCACAAGCACGAACAATGTGCACTCTGCACCCGCGTACATAAACTTGGGTTTGGTCCAAGAGTTGCCAAATCGCTCGTGCTCGTCCGTCCGAGCATTGACCACACCAACAGTGAAGTGGGCGATGGCACGCCTGTAAGAATGTCGCAAATGGAAAAGATTACGCCGTACAAGCGCGACTCCGACAGAATTACCGATATAACACAACTACTATACACATGTCCGTCCAAATAACATTTTACTCACACGCTGCGCCCGGCGTTCTCAACCGAAGAATCCCTTCCTGTCCTCCTTGCGCTGCACAGATCAGTCAGCAACCATCCAATAACGCACAGCGAATAGCAGAGACTCACCAGACGTGACCCATGGCTCAACGCCAAATACAACTTAAACAGCCTCTCACACTCTTCATCCCCCTTGAACGGAAACTCCGCGCCCAGCCTATACGCCGCACTGAACCCGCTCGTAACAGCAAGCTCATGCATATTCAGCACGCTCCAAGCGCCCGCGTACTGCGTATGATGCTTCATATTGATGAACATCATCCAGGGGACAACTTTGGCGTAGTGCTGCCAGCGGTGGCTCTGCTGCTTCCACCACTTCTCGTAGATGCGGTGTTCTTCGGGGATCTCGCCTTCGGTCCAGAGGTGCGAGGAGCCGTCGCGGTCGAGGAAGATGGTTTGAAAGACGTGGCGGTCGAGTGGGGGTTCGGAGCGTTGCTCATCGTCCTTGCCTGTGCGCACGTCGGAGCCTTGCTCGCCGAGCTTGTCGTTCTGCGCCTCGCGCGCAACGTGGTCCGCCGCTGTGCTCTCCGACGCGCCGCTCTCCCTGGGGAGACGCACGTCCTTGTCCTCGGGACCTGCAGGGCGCTCGCCCCGGAACTGCGGCTGGTAATGCGTAAGGTCGAACGACATTTCGATCTTGGACCTGTCCTGCGGGTACTGCTTCGTGTAGTACAGCGGCCTGAACTTGTCCTTCGCGAACTGAACCTGATCCTCCGGAGCAGACTCCGCGGCAAGGCTCTCGTCGAACTGGACCTCATAGTGACGCTTCATGTACGCGAGATCGTCGTGCGTGATGGTGACGTCGTACAGGTACTTGACGCTGCCTAGCACGCGACGTTCCATCCAGGAGGCCTCCTTGCCGAGAAGTTTGAGCGACGTGTCGGCGTCGCAGGCGAGGATGAGCTCGTCGAAGGTCTCGCGCGTGAGAGAGTCAGAGTCAGGGGACTTGTACTCGAGCGTCACGGCGTTCGTCTTGCGGCTGAGGATGCCGGACACCTCGTATCCGAGGAGGAAGGAGACGGCAGAGGTCGACTCGGTCGCGCGTTGCCAGGTCGTGTAGACATCGCGTAGCTGTTGCGCGCATCAGCACTCCAATGCAGAGGGAAGGATAGAAGAGCTGACCTTCGGGAACGCGTACATGGTCGGTATGCTAGCCAGCAGACTCTTGTCGCTAAACTCGAATAGCTTCATGCTCGGGTCCTTGAACACGCGCTCGAGAATAGCACACGAGATATACGGCGTCTGATTGCCCGTCCCGAAGAACAGCGCGACAAGCGGATATACCATTTTCTCCCCGAAGTCATTGCTGAATCTGAACATCCTCAACATAGCGTGCACCGGCACGAACGCGAACAGGACTTCGGTCTTCTTGATAATCCCAAGCACCTTGCCGAACTTCTTGATGTCCTTCTGGAACTGCTCGGTCAACGGGCTGGGAAAGACGTTAGACCAGAAATCCTCGCCCTTGGAGAAGGATATCTGCATGCCGACGGGCGATGCGTTGAACCCGAGCTCGCGGAACATGCGGATCGTGTTGGCGAACTGAGGAGAGCAGCCTTGCACACCGTCGTTGATGTACGATGCGCCGTACTTGTTGGCGTCGATATCGAGGGAGGTGGCCATGCCGCCTGGGAAGGGCTGCTTGTCGAAGACGGTGACACGGTACTTCTCCGGGTGGCGCGAGAGGGCGTAGGCGGCGGACATGCCGGACGCGCCGGCGCCGACGATAGCTACGCGGGTTGGAGTTGGGGCCATTATGGGTGATAGAGTAAATTGGTGACCGTGACTGGGCGGGGAGAGGACTATATGCTGAGAGGACTAGGGGGGACGGCATCGGGATGTCTGGGACTGGGCGCGGATGCGCGTCATTCGCTTGCTCGATGTAGGGGCAAATCGGGCCTCCCGCTGCAGGTTGTTATGGACTACACGAGCATAGCTTATCTCGCGCAATGGCACCATAAGGGGATACACGCGGAGTGGAGGCAGGACCGAGTACAGCGCGAGACCAAACAACGCGTTCACGACGTGACCAGTTCGTCAGCCTCGTGAAATATCATAGTGGGGTCAATCGTGCACAGTAGTGAGGAATACTGAGCGGGATCGAGTTTGAATGGAGCGTATCGAGTTGCGAGGAGGCTTGAAGCTTGACAAGACATATAATATAGAGCGATGTGCGCGACATGGTGAAGGCCGCTGAAGGCCGTCGAAGCAGAGACGAACCAGGATCAAACGCGGGTGATAAGATTAGATAAACATCTCTCTCACGGTCCCTCCAGGTGGTCAACCCACAGTCGAAGTCCCTGTACCGACCTCCACGACCCCGTATCAAGACTATCGCCCCCTCCTTGCCTTGATGACACGTGTACAGTAACCTCCAACCCGGGACCTGACTGGGGGCCAAATATAAGCTGCGACGAAGCCCAATGTACTTGCGTAGGATCTCGGCCACGCGGCAGTGCCAATTCAACAGCTTCATGATCGGTCGGCATTGTGGTCGTGCCGAGCAGGATGCTGGCCGTACACCGCCGGCACACCGCAGCCATACTACTGCAAAGCAGGACTGAGAGCAAACGTACACTCGGTATGTAAAGCCGTTGAACCTGAGTCGAACGTCGAATTTCCAAATCATTACATATGGTCTGTCCTTCAAAAGCGCGTCGCGAGTTCAATAGCCCACCTTAGACCGAAACCACCACCATCTACCGGTCTGTCGCGTCGTACATACTTGGCATCGCACATGCGAGGCGAAGCTATACAAAAGCTGATGCTTCTTGTTTGCCGTGAGCCGAAAGGATACTCGGCGTGAGGGATTTCGAAGCTTGCGTAGAGGTTCGGCTCCCGGGATCACCCCTCCGTGACTCGGCTGCCTTATCCAGAGCGCCTGCTACATATAGTCGAAGTTGAACTTGCCACGCGCTACCATCCCTGTACCTAAAAGCCATGTCTTCTGCAGACGAAGACCACGCTGAACACGCCGGTCCATCCGCTCCCAAACGACCGCGCCGCAACAACCATGCATGCGAGATGTGCGACACGTTTCCTAGTACGCTGTATCGTGCAAGATACTCACTATTTATATCACTTCAGGTGTCGGAAGCGAAAGGGTATGTGACGTGGCAGTTGCTAGTCTCCATATATTTATGTCAAGCTTTCGCCTCTAGCTCGCTGTGAGTGTCTCATCGGCATCACTTTTCTTCGCGGGCTCTCTCTGACACGGCACCCATACCCGCAGGTGATGGAAAACAGCCTGGCACGGACAAATGCACCAATTGCTCTATCTATAACCGAGGTATTTACATCTATTCAGCCTCCAACCGCTCTATATGCTGACCGATCCTTCCTACAGAATGCACGTTCACGGTCATGAGCAGGGTATGTACATTACATCGTGTCCAGAGTCAGGTTACTAACCCGTGGTGTTGTCAGAAATATCCTTCTGGGTAATATGTCAGGCGCACTCGATGCAGAATTCCCCTCTGACCAGACGCACAGCTACGTCGAGGCGCTGGAGACGAAGCTCAGGAAGTACGAAGGCTTGGTACAACGAGTGAACAGCCATCTCAGGCTCTCCGGTCTCTATGCTGACACGATCTCTTTCCCAGATACTCCCCGGACAGGACTTCACTCAAGAAGTTGGTTTCAAGTTGACCATCGATAACTGGATGCTCCCTGGCGCCTGTGGTGCACCAGAACCACAGAATCAAAGCATGTTCCTCGCAGAGCCTGGCCCTCCCGGCGGAGTCGCCCCCGGTACATCACTCTCTGTGATGAGCGCAGGCAGTGCGCCTCCGACACCCATGCCGGACGACGAACATTCATCCGACGATGACACCCGCGCACGGGCGATGAAGCTGCTATCATTGCGCAAGTTCAACGTCCCGCGGCCATGCCTGTTACCCAGCTACCTCGGCAAGTCGTCGGCCACAGAGCTATTTGTGAAAGCTTTTGAGATGCGTAACCAATTGGGGCATGACTTGCCACGCAGAGATATGCCCCGTTCTCGGCCATGGGTGAGTGTACTACCTTATCTAATACTCTGCTCGACTGAAGGTACATGATCTAGTGGCTCACATTCTTCGGGACCGTGCAAGAGCTAGACCCCCTCCGCTTTCCCGATCAGGACCTCATGGACGAACTCATAGAGCACTACTTCACCAACATCAACATCTTCACTCCCGTGCTCCATCGACCAACGTTCGACGAAGACCTCCGGACATTCCTCCACCTCCGCGAACGCAACTTCGGTTGCGTTGTGTTGCTAGTATGTGCACTGGGATCTCGCTTTTCAAGCGATCCACGCGTCCTTGTGGAGGGAGACCAGACTTGGTACTCCGCCGGATGGAAATGGTTCATACAGACTCGGATCTTCGACGATGCCAATCTTCTGTCTACTACTTGGCACCTTCACGTGTTGCAAGCCGCATGCGTAAGCATTTGCCGTCTCCTTTCTCGTCCGTTTCCTCATAGCTAATTCACTGTAGCTGGCCACCGCGTATGCCTCCGACGTCTCTTCGATACACGCATGGATGCTCGTTGGCGCAGGCATTCGGTTCGCTGTCGATATCGGTGCTCATAAGCAACGCGCCTACGGCGCAAAACCCGCTCTGGAAGATGAACTGTACAAGCGATCCTTTTGGTCAGTGACCCTCTCAGCTCATGCTCACGAGCGACCGGCTCACTTCTTCGTTATCCAGGACGCTGGTCTACTTTGACAGAACACTGAGTGCCAACATGGGTCGTCCTTGCAGTATACAAGAAGAGGAGTGAGCACAAGAATGATGATGTCCTGCATGGTGGCCTAAGCCTTACTGGGATACCAGTTTCGACCTTCAGATGCCGCTTTGTTGCGATGACGATTACTTCACGGGTCACGATGCGGCACCAGTCGGAGAACAACCTTCTGTCCTGAACTACTTCATATGGTCCCTCAAGCTCTCGCAGATCCAGGGCCTTGCGCTACGCACTGTCGTACGTCTACGCTTCGGGATACGAAACTGAGCTAACTTGAGATACACATAGTATGCGAGCACGAAGACGCGAGTGCACTACGGCTTCCAAGGCGAAGAATGGATGGCACGGACCGTCGCCCACCTGGACTCACTTCTCAATAACTGGACCGATTCGTTACCGGACCATCGTGAGCGAATCGCACAGCTCGAGTCGACCCACACTGACCTTTCGTTTCATAGTACGCTGGGACTCCGCGCGCTCAGATGATGTATTCTTTAGCCAATCCGCACATCTTCAGATGCAATACCGCATGGTGCAGATCATGATACACCGCCCTTTCATCGCCGCTCGCGGAGTCAAGCCTCTTCCGGCGCTACCTCTCTTGATGTGCTCGAATGCCGCCCGCGCTATGGCGCGTCTCGCCGAGGCATTGCAGAAGCGAACACCCCATCGCTTAGGTGGTATGGATCTCTTCATGTGGACGGTACGTTGCATACAGATCCATACATATTCGAATACTGCTAACGGACCATCAGTTGGGCACGGCTGCAATGGTGCTTCTCATCAGCATTGGCAACGCCCGTCTTAGCAATGTCAAGATCGATCGCAAGCGGACGATGGCAGACATCGAAGTGTTGTTCTCGATTCTTCGCGAGAGAAAGGAACGTTGGCCGTCGGCCGTACGGCTTCTGTGCGTATCGACGCGTACATCGCAAGGTCGAGGTGCTTAACCTCTGAACAGAGGACTGCTCGACTATTTCATGTTCTTGGGCGGAAACGCCGAAGAAGACCAGCCGGCACAGCGGAAGCGCCCACACGATGCGGACTCCCACGTCGACTCGGAGCAAACGTCCAACGTCGCGTCGGGTTCCTTCGTCGTACCGCCGGTCAACGATCCGCTCTCCGGCATCGACTGGTCTGAGATCGTAGGAAATAACCAAACCAGAAGCTCCATGGCAGGTAATATAGACTTTGCACTCGATGAGCCATTTCCGCAAGGAACGGGCGCCGTGTTCGGGAATGTGGATTTTGGCGCGCTGTTTGGGCTCGGAGAACCTGGCCTAGAGAATGGAAGACCCTGGTCGCCTGCCCCGCCCGAGGAATCTCTGGATACACTTCTAGGGAGACCCGTGAGTGGCACGGGAGAGAGCATGAACTTTGGATTGGACACTTGGCCGCTCTCAGACTTCAACTCTGGGTGTGTTTATATCTGCTGACATTCATACCCGATAAGTCGGCTAATTCGCGATTGCTTCTTTGCACAGAGCGGACGAATGGCAGTGGATGGCGCCGACTGAGCAGGGCGCCGCGGGACCTTCTGGATTTGGAGGTGCAACTGAGCGCACTTCGCATTCATAGTTGTGCGCGTGAAAGTTGTATACTCGTAACCTATATGCAGCATCGTGAGATCAGCTTTGGCAGTAGAGTACTCGTAGTCTTCGTAGGATAGCTCACTGAAGATGCGTGTGTCCATGACCAAACACTCGAAGAATACGGTAGTTGGAGAGATGAACATTTATTATGATTTGATAAGGTTTTACATCATTTACCCGGCGTGTGGCAACATATGCTTAGCGAGATAAACGATTTCCCCCTTAGAGTACAACCACCATCTCGCCTGTATCGTACGGCGTCAACTCTCCGGCGTGTGCTATGGCTTAAGGACCTGCTGTGCAGCAATTAAGTTAAGGCTGAAGGCTGTCCATGAAGAGCACCAGAGAAGCTTCGAAGCTGCGCGGCTTCCGCGATGTATTTGTCCGTCGCACAGCTTTCGGCTGCTTTTGCTGCCGCAATGTCGTTGAGATTCACCTCCTAACATGACTCTGTCTCAAACCACCACGTCTGCGACGACCAGATATGTCCTCAGACGAAGATGACCCGTCTGCTGCTGGACCGTCAGCCTCGAAAAGACGTCGCCCCACACGTTCTAATAACGCCTGTGATTTGTACGGTAGTCTGCGTCTTGATTGTGGGCAAGGAGCTGATAACGAACGGTTGTCAGGTGTCGAAAGCGAAAGGGTAAGGTTTTGACAATAGTTTCTCCATTTTCCATTTGATGCTCACATATCGTTCACCGCTCTAGTTCGATGTGAGTCCCCGCCCCAGGCTTTCTGAGAAGTCACTCAAGGTGAATGGGACGCTACAGGTGACGGAAAGCAATTCAGCACAGGAAAGTGCACAAACTGCAGCGATTATGGCCGAGGCAAGTGTCTTCCTTAGTCGTGAGAAATACGAGCTGACCCCGACTTTGTAGATTGTACATTCACTATAACGGCCAAGGTACGCGTTGCCTACAGCTGATAGATCCTCATTGACCATCGGGTGGCAGAAATTCCCTCCCGGGTAAGTGATCTGCATGATTGGTCTGCGACCAATCACTGATTTGGCCAAGATACGTCGCAGCGCTGGAGACCAAAGTGAAACGGCTTGAGAGTCTGATACGAAAGGTAAAGGATCGTGGTGCACGCTCCCATATTGAACATTAACGTCTATCGTTCTTAGCTTCTTCCAGGACAAGACTTCACCCACGAGGTGGGCTTCGAGTTGAACCGGGATAACTGGATGCTCCCCGGTGTTTGCGGCGCTCCTGAACCAGAAAGTCCAAGTTTATTCCTCGCAGCGCCCGCCCCTACGACCGGCAACATAGACTCGGCTGTTTCAAGCGCTCTGTCTGTCATGGGGTCCGCTAATTCATCACCGACGACGCCAATGCAGGATGATCATCATGAGTCGGACGAAGATACCCGCGAAAGGACGACCAAGTTACAGAATCTACGTAACGCTACAGCACCCAGCGCCAAGTCTTCGCTTCTTGCTGGTTACCTGGGCCGATCTTCGGCCACGGAGCTTGTGAGGAAAGCTTTTGAGATGCGCGCTGCACTAGCTCCAGAAGAACAAGGCAGCACTTTCAAACGCTCGAGATTGTGGAAACGGCCTGCTGTGAGTGCCAGTGTGACACTCATATAAGACTTTGTCACTGATCGAGTGCACCTCTAGTGGCTCTTGGCATCCGAGGACGCCCACATGCCCCAGCCTCATATTTTTCCCGACCAAGATCTCATGGATGAGCTTGTCGATCACTATTTTGCGAACGCCAATACACTCACGCCCGTCCTACATCGTCCCACGTTTGAGAAGGATCTCAAATCATCTCTGCATCTTCGCGAGCGCAGTTTCGGCAATGTTGTTCTCCTCGTGTGTGCTATTGGATCGCGTTTCACCCATGACCGACGTGTACTTGTCGAAGGCGACCCAACATGGCACTCGGCGGGCTGGAATATGTTCATGCAGACGCGGATTTTCGACGATGCGTCTCTTCTATTTCCTACGTCACATCTTCATGTGTTACAGGCTGCATGTGTATGTGCATCTGTCCCCCTCAACGACCACATTGGGACTAATTGAACCAGTTAGCAACGTCATATACTGCGGATATCTCCCCAATTCATACGTGGATGATCGTCGGATCCGGCATTCGATTTGCTTTGGACATTGGCGCACATAAACGACGTGCCTACGGTTCGAAACCTGCACTGGAGGATGAACTATATAAGCGGTCATTCTGGTGCGTCCGCAGACGAAGATCCGCATTTCATGACATCAACTTTTTCTTTGACAGGACCTTGGTGTACTTCGATCGCATCGTCAGCGCGGGCATGGGCCGGCCACGTACCATCCAGGAAGAGGAGTAAGAGACGATCACATTCACTCCCGGGCTTGCTCTCATCAACTACCCAGCTTCGATCTCGAGATGCCGCTCTGTTGCGATGACGAATATTTGACGCTGGAAGATCCCGAGCAGGCCTCAACTCAGCCATCACTCATCAGTTACTTCGTTTGGGTGCTCAAACTTTCGCAAATCCAAGGACTGGCTTTGCGCACAATTGTACGCCTATGTAATTGATCAGGAGTGGTACCAGACTGCTGATAACGCCCAGTATGCGAGCGCGAAAGCACGAGTGCATTACAACTTCCGAGGGGAGGATTGGATGAATACTACTGTCGCCCATTTGGACTCACTTCTGAATGGCTGGGCTGACTCCGTTCCAGACCACTGTGCGTATACATTACACCCGCTGCTAACGTCTAATGAAGACTTGCCATTTCAGTGCGTTGGGATCCTGCGCGTACCGACGACACGTTCTTTAGTCAATCGGCCCATTTGCATCTCCAGTATCGCGCCACACAACTCCTAATACACCGCCCATCTATAGCGGCGCGTGGGCTAAAACCTCTTCCAACGCTATCTCTCGTTGTCTGCACAGGTGCCGCACGCTCCATTGCCCGAGTGGCGGATGCTTTGAACAAGAGGAAGCCTGACCATCTTGGTGCCCTGGACGTCTTGATGTGGACTGTATGGCGACTTGATAGCGCTCGAGATGATGTACAATGCTGACGTATATTCAGTTAGGAATGTCTGCACTTGTGCTCCTCGTCAATGTGGCGAACGCGCGCCTGAGCAATACCCCGATTGATCGCACACGAGCGATGGAGGATTTCGATTTACTGTTGTCTATTCTTCGAGATAGGGAGGAGCGCTGGCTATCGGCTGGCCGGCAAGTGTGAGTCCGCATTTCAGGAACAATCTCAGGAGTAACTTGACTGAATGGATCTGTGCACAGTGACGTACTCGAAAGCTTCAGGCCGATGGGCGAGGCTGCCGATGAGCCCCAACTCACGGCCCAACGAAAACGCCCGCGCGAAGAAGCACCTCCAGACATCCCACAACAATTATCGTATGCAATCGACGAGCCTCCTTCCATTTTTCTCTCTCAACCCGAGATTGCGCCGGCACACAACATTCCACATGGCACGACCTTGAACCAATCTGTGCTAAATGGTCATCATATGCCAGAGCAAGCAGTTGCGGATGGCTCGAGTTACGCGTCCCCGCTGATTGGATCGCAATCGCAAAGTGCAGGCTCTGTGTTAGGGAATGTTGACTTTGGCGCGCTTTTCGGCCTCGGCAACGCGACACTGGAGGGTGTACGACCCTGGTCGCCTGCTCCCCATGATGGTACGCTAGATCCGTACTCAGCCGCCCCATCCACAGGAAATAGAGAGACTACGATTCTTCGGCCAGAGGAGTGGGCCGGTATGGCACTTGATCTGGGGTAAGCAACGGCCGGGATCTCGGGTAAGATTCACAATGTGCTAATATCTTGACCCCGCAGGATGGACGACTGGAATCATCAGTGGATGATGCCGTCTCAGTCGGGTTCATGGGATCAGGGTTTCGGAGGTGGATCAGGAGGATAACGACAGTTACTAGCAGGATAGTTTTATGCGCTATTCGCCCATAGATTGTAGTCGTAGCGGTTGATTACATACCTACTTGTTTGCACAGTTGTTATCTCACCCGACATGAATTGAACTTACCTCAAATAAAGCTATGTGGTCGTAGCTGACATCCCACGAGCGGGGCACCTGCGTGTGGCAACTCACAAACGGGCCAGTGCGGGCCGCGCGCGCCGAAAGGGCGCGAACCTTGTCTTTGGACCACCACCACTCCCGGATTCGTCCCTCATCTGTACTATAGCTTCCCTTCATGGCACTCATTGAGGTGCGTATATGGGAAGTCTCTGTCTGCTACAGTCGTTAACTCAGGATACAGGTCATAGCGAACGATCGTCTTGGACGCAAAGGTCCGTCCTTGCTTCACAAGCGCCGCAATCATGTGCTCATATCACTCAGTGCGTGTCAAATGCAGTCCGGACGACACTGTCGGAGATTTGAAGAAGCTGATTGCTGCTCAAACGGGTACGGACTATCGCAAAATTCAGTTGAAGAAATGGTGTGTCCTATCCAAGCTCCTTGCCCTCTCTCCTAGTGCTCAATAGTATCAGGTACACGATCTATAAGGACCACATAACTCTGGGGGACTATGAGATACATGATGGAATGAGCTTGGAAATGTACTAAGTGCTTCTATCCATGTTGACGACGGAGATGTCCGCATAACCGACACTCTGCAATCGACGATGGCTTTGCAGCCTCATTGCGCCGACAAAACCAAACTCCTGTACTATCCCCTCTATACTTACTCTATCCTGCTATCCCAGTGCTTTGTATGCTGATAATGTGCAGTCCATGAATCCCCCTTCAGTCTGCAGTTTGCCTCGCCAAGGGGGTTGTTCTCGAACCTGGAGTAGTATCGAGAGGCGCTTTGAGGGAGAATATAGCGAGAGAGAAAATAGAGATCAGGGATCGCCTGGCTTCCACCTAGTTCAATGCTCAGCAAATCAGTAGGATGACGAAGGCTCAGTATTCATGACACTGGTTGTCCTAGAGTCGCGAGGATCGTATGCGCGTAGAATGCTTTTTGAATCAGATTCACCAGGATCGCAGATAATCACTTTTATCCCCATGTTCATCGACGCCTTTCAAGCCTATAGCGCATCTCAGGGCGTCGATATTCCGTTCATCTACCGAGTTACCCCATATGTCCGCTCAATTCTGACGATCGTCGCACCCGAGATCTTGAGAGTCCGACCGGCCCGAAGTGCGATAAGCGTGCACCACATGCATTATATACATCAAGGATCGGAGCTTTGCAGCCTGGTGTCCCTTTCGCTCTCGCACTCCCATCTCTACCATGCAGTCAGGATACATCGACTTCAAGACCGGCGATGACATCCTACAAACCTGGTTCACCGTTGTCGGCAATCTGCATTCTGGCCGCCGTCCCCTCGTACTTCTGCACGGCGGGCCAGGGATCCCTTCCGCCTATATGCGTCCCCATCTCGACTGGGCCCAATCGTCTGGCGTACCTGTTGTCCTGTATGATCAAGTTGGGTGCGGCAAGTCCACCCATCTGCAGGGCAAAGAGGCAGCCTTCTTCACTGTGGAACTATACATGGACGAGCTCGAGAACGTTCTCGCTCACCTCGGTATCACAGACGCTTTCGATCTCCTCGGGCACTCCTGGGGAGGCATGCTTGCATCTGACTGGGTGACCACTCGTCACCCAGCGGGACTCCATCATCTCATCCTCGCTGACTCACTCGCGTCCATCGAGTTGTGGAAGGCCTCCGTCAATAAGTTGCTCGAACGTTTCCCGAAGGAGTTTCAGGAAATGCTGCGGAGGCACGAGGAGAACGGGACAACAGATGACGAGGAGTATCAAGAAGGCATGATGAAGTTCTATCGAAAGCACATGTGTACCGTCGACCCTTGGCCACAAGAGCTCAACGACGCATTTGCCGCGCTGGGAGAAGACCCCACGGTTTACTTCACTATGTACGCGCCCCACGTATTCAGAACCATCCCTGGTACTCATCAACTTGACGGTGCTAGGTTCGGGGTCTCCGAGTTCATGATCAATGGCACGCTCAAGGATTGGTCTGTTGTCGATCGATTGCACACCATCACTTGTCCGACGCTCATCCTCAATGGGGTTGACGACGAAGCCCAGGAAGAATGTGTCGGGCCGCTCTTTCTTAAGATTCCCAGGGCTAGATGGATTCAACTGGCAAAGAGTAGCCACATGCCGTTCTTTGAAGAGCCAGAGCGGTACTTTGAGTTAATCAGCGAGTTCCTATCCTTGTAAGCTTCAGAGGGGAAGGCAGGAATAGTCTCATACATCTCATGGCATTCCGTGTATAATCTGTAAAATTCACCCGCTACCTCTTTCCTCCATTACATTGCTTCCGGCCAGAATTCACGAGCAGCGTCTGAGGCCACAGCTTCCCGGACTACCTCCTCACCAGAGCATCCGTCGTCTTCGTGTCCGTGGCTCATGAACGGGCCCACCTCCGCGCCTCCTGGAGGTGTGGTGGACCATACCCGAACCGCACCATCGTGTCTGCCTGTGGCGAACATGCACGCCGTCGGATTCCAAGCGATACAAGTGATGTCGCCGCCTCCCAGATCGTGAGCATAGAACTCGTGCAGTAACAAGCCCGAATCGCGATCCCAGATGTGAATGCTTCCAGCTATGGAACCTATCGTCAGAAACAATAGCAGATATTATACTGCTGAGGGCATACATTTACTTGCGCAAAGCACCAATTCGTCATCGGTCCCGCCAAAGCATCCAGGCGCAGAGAACCCATCTTGCGCATGCGATGCATAGTATGTGCGTTTGAGAGAGAGGCGGGACGTGGTCGCGGAAGTACGCGGGCTGGTGGGAGGTTCTTGTCCAGGTGCTGGTCCCACGGTTTCCGTTCTTTGCTTATACGTCTCAAGCTCCCACAGTTGCGGCGCCTTACACGCATAGCTTACCAAAGCATGCAGGCCGCTTTTCGCCAAGGCGATGTCGCGCACGTCGCTCAAGACTGGGACTTGGCTGTGGACACTAAGTTCAAGAACATACCCTCAAACCAGAACATGGAGATGAACGGCGTACCATTCGATCTCCTCGCGCTCCATATTATATGCTTGTGACACATAAGTATCAGTGTCTTTGGCATTCACTCATAGATACACGCACAGATGATACGTTTCTCATCTCGACCTTTCCCTGGCCGCAGACCGTCTTGCGAAGAGAGCAACGTGCCGACGAGCAGCACTCGTGTACCTATTGATCTTGATGAGACAAAGACACACAGAGAGGTGCTGCTATGATCACTTACCGTCAGTAGTTGGAGCTATGCCATGTATCTTCAACCTCTCAAACCAATACTCGCCGATCTTCTGATTTGAAACGTCCAGAACGGTGATGACATTCCCCTCCACGATCATGAATGCTGGGGATCATGGTCAGAAACTGTTCGATGTCGAGAACGGGCTGGCCAACCGTGTCCGTGTGGTAACCAGGCAATGGATTGGATCGGATGTTTGCGCCCGATTGTGCGTGTACACACGCCAGACTAGCAGATTGATGATGAGCACGAAAGCAGACGGTTATGCACGACATGATCTCAGACGAACCTCCGTCCAGATTTCCACACTACGATTGAGCTGCGCGAGTAGATGCATGCCGTCTGGCGACCAAGCGACCCCACTAACTATTCCAGATGGATGGGCTAAGGTACGATGCGGTCCGAATGGAGATGCGGCCGGCGATATCACGCTGGTGCGGTCCCAAGAGCTCGTCGCAAGATGCTGCCCATCTGGACTGAATTGCAAATGGCGCACGAGAGCGGTGTGGGCGGATAGAGACGCCGTGGGTCGCATGTCTCGGAGGTGAGCTACGAGGGTAGAAGCACGTCTAGTTTCCTGTACGTCTATGCCAGCTTGTTTCCTAAACAGGACCGCGCGCACTGCACGCCGGAAGCGCGTTAATGGGAGAGAAGGTGAAGTGGGGCTTGCAAGGTTGGAGGTCTTCATGGGATAGTAGGTTCGAGTGGCGTATGGGTGCAAAGGAGCCGAGGGCAATACGTCCTGAGCCACCGAGCCTAGCTCCGTTGCCTCTTTGTGCTCAGAACTTGACGTCGGGCTGTTGACGAATGTACTAGCTCTCTGCCGCCAAGATACCGTGTTTTGTTCAGGGTCTCCTACATATCGTCTGTGTGCTAGGTGGTTCCATCAGCGGGGCTCTAGAAAGGAGTAAAAAGGTCCCACCTAAACAGCGCGCTATAGCTTTACAGGGACGAATGACAGACGCAAAGAAGCCGGAGATCTTCCGGAGCTCGTGCAACCTGCTACCGTAGTGCCGAGCGAAAGCGAAGCGCTCCAGCGCATACCAAGTTATGACGGAGGTGAAGCCAATACTACTCAACCCTGTGACGCCCGCAACAACGATGACCACGGTATGATCCTTGATGTAGATGTTCAGCGAGTGCAGGGTTTCGCGAAGCTTAGATGGAAGCGCACCTGTCCCGATGAATACGAGAATATTGCGAGTCCAATGGTGAAACAAGTGACGGCCATGACCAGAAAGACTAATGGTGATCTTCTAAGCCACGATATGACCCACCAGGGCACATGCCTGCCAGGAGCGCGACTGATGTCCTGGATCAGAATGGGAGGTAGGATGATCTTTCGATGACGCACTACATAGCCTGCTTCCAGGCCAGACCAAGAAGGGAGTTCCCGGCTGCAGCGATTGAGAGGACGATGGAGGTAAACCAGAAGCCGTTGACTGCGCTCTGGAGCGAGTTCTTGTTGTAGTTGTAGGACATTTGCAGCGTAGTTGCAGCTACAGCGCAAAAGACGGTTGCAAGCATGGATAGATTGAGCAGGTTCCGCCCACCATGCCGTTGCATATCACGAATCGTGGGTATGCCTGATTCTTTCGTCAGTCTTCATCTCACGAGCGATGCCAACAAGATGAACAGGCGCACAAGTCTCGTTGAAAGTAGAAAGGTATCGGCTGATGGATCCGAGGTGCTCCCCCATCTCGGCGCTAAGGTCATGCAAGTACCTCCGAACCGACGGGGACTTGAGTTGACCTGCTAAAGCGTAAGCATCGTCATTTCTAGCCATGCAAGTCCCCCCACCGTCGTATTCCTTCAAACAGGATGCCCAATACTGGTGCATCATGTGTAACCGCTCATTGCTATGTTATCCCGGACGCGTACCTTGAGGTCCTCTTCAAAAGCCATCACGGGTAAGTTGAGCTGGTTTGAATCTCAGCCGCGCCAGAATGGTTGCAGTTCACAGATTGAAACCGCGCCTACCGCTTCATCCGGATAATCAAGTAGATCGTTGAAGTCTAATAAAAAGCTTATCATGTTCCTCGCCAATGTGTCGAGCTCTTTCGGGAGGTCCTCCTGCGCTGGGGGATCGAGGACGGGCAGTCTGCGCGTATTCGAATGGATCCTTGACTGCGAGCGTCGACGATCAGGAATAGCAGGCCTATGTAGCGACTCTTCTGGCGCATGCGAGATCTTTTGTGGGAACAGATGGGCGGCGTTCTCGCGAAAGAGGTATCGGATCACGGTCAGCCGCTCCCGTAGATGGTAGGTCGATGAGAGAATGTCCACGGGAGAGCCCAGTAGACGGGCGGAGTTGCTGAAGTTGCGCAACGCATCATCGAGACCATTTAGCTCCCTGGCGAATACGTGGAACATCTCGACTCCCTCGTGGACAAGATCTGTCGAAAGACTTCAGCCCTGTTGCGACGCCATCTTCGATCGCCTGCACATACCCATGCAATGAATGTTCTCCTGGGCTTGTCCTCGAATGCCTTCATCTGACGCACCAGTGAGTAATGTACGCCACCATTGCCCGCACCAGCGTCCAGCACCTTGTTCGAGATCGTCATCGACATCAACGTCGCCCAAGGCGGACAATAGGTCGAGCAGAAGCTGTTTCCGTTTATCTTGTACTAGCATCTAGGAGCTCCGAATGTCTTGCGATCCTAGTGCAGTCTGTCAAGGGGAAGCGGGCAGTAGCAGTAGCCCTATACTGTTGCTGGGCATAGAGGTTGAAGTACGGGCAGAAAGCTGGAGTACCCGTCCTCGGATGACTTCATATGACGCCTGAAGTCGCGTACAATCGCTGTGATGCTCCATGTAGTGACTCGTATAGGTAGCCAACAAGAGCTTACCTAGCTTGCTCCAAGCGTTTGTGTTGAAGAAGGCTGCCATGCCTCACTAGACCGGCGGAGCAGTGGATAGGGACCAGAAACGTTCGTACGCTTCCTATCTGTGGGAGTGGGCCTTGTGGAGATGGGTCCGAGATGCTGCGACCGGGAGTAAGCCATGACCACGGCCCGTGGGTAAGTATCGTCGCTACCCGATGTATTCGCCACAAGACGCGCGCAAGCGCCCGTCTATTATATGTGCCTCGGTAACAAATGGGTTTCCCTCCCACTATCTCTGGTCTAGAGCTTCGTCACGTCATGAACAAGGAAGGGCGATGGGATTTCGAGACCCCTCAAGTACGCAAGACAGGCAGGGAACCCTGTACACGTAGCCTGTAGCATCGATTACCACATCTCAACTCCTCAATCAACAGATGGGCTATCGCCAGCACGCGCTCTCCGTTCTTCAGCTTGCTCAACCGCGCCAGGCCAAACGAAGCTCTCCGCCGCCCACTCCGGCATGCCGGTTTCGAATGTCCCGAGACTGGTCGTATACCGGAGTGCATGCAAGAAGATGTACAGTCGCTCAGGTATCGGGTCCGGGTGCAGTGGCAGGTAGCACTCGGGGCAGTACAGCAAC